TATAAAAGGTTTGCTAATATATACTTATAAAAAAAATGCTTAGATATGGGTAAAAGGCAAGAGCAGAAAACAAGGTTGGTAAGTTTTTGACAATTAACGGTTTTACCGGGTTTTAACCATGGTTTTTTTGGTCATGTCAAAAATAACTTTTTGACATATGTCAAAAACCCAAAATTTTGGTGTAAGAATAATAATCAGCTGTTATAAATAAAAAGTATTTATAGAACATACATAAAAACATTACAGGTGATCAATCAATTATGTTCTTGAATTATTTTGACATAAAAAAAACTTCTTTTTTTTTTGGAAATTACTGTCCAAAACCCAAATTTATTCACGGAGAGGAGGAGAAAATATTGAATAATTATAAATAAAAATGTGTAAAATTGCAATTTATCCAATCTGTTAATTTGCAAAATTGTTGAAAATAAAGATACAAAAACAATCATCTTATTCATTATATGTAAAATAAATTTTCATTTACTACTATTTTAAAGTAGACGAACTAAAACTATTATAAAATAATAAAATAGCATGTAACTAAGAAATGTATTCTAATAACTGTTCTAAATATTTATAGTAAAATTAAACCCTTGAATTGTCTGATTGAAAAAATTATTAACTGGTTCAAACAAACATTTATATTTTTTGTAAATTATAATTATTTTACTAATCAGGGAACATATTAGAGTCCAGATTTATTAGAAATATTCATGTACAGTGTGCCAGAAAAAAAAGGACAACTTTGAATAACTTTTGATCTAATGAGCGGATTTTCACGTTCTGGGACTAAATCTTACTGACTAGAGGGGAATCTCAATTATGTAAATTAATAAGTTCAGACGATATTGCAAGTTACGAAAACAGACAAATAAACCTGTTTTCTCTGAATTAACATACCTTTTTTTTCGACAGATTTGGATTTGTGACCCCCAATATATAGAGGATAGCAGCGATCCGGGAAATACAGTTCCAACAGTTTGGTCAGGAGAGCGCTTCAAAGTTAGGACCCTTTAATGTTAATTTGATTTTTTACGCTATCTTAAGCTTCAAGGTGCTATTTTTAAATATTCTAATAATTTTGGGCAAACACTTTTAATTTACCAAATCAGACACAAGACTCACAAAATATGGAAGACAGCTGCACTTTTTAAATATCTTAACTTTAAACAGGAAAGAGGTTGAAAATTCGGCCACTTTAATGTAATTTCACTTTTTACATATTTCGTCGTGTCTCTAGAACAATTTAAGAAAAAAATGCTGCACTAATAAAATTTGCTTAAAAATAGATCTAAATTTTTTTTCCCTTCTTTTTTTGTAATTCAAAAATATTTTTTATTAAAATAAAGCACTTTTTAAGAAAACGTATTTTCTTTATAATTTTTTATTTATTTTAATAGTGAAAAATCTTTAAATTTCAAATTATACTTGCAAATATGAGCCACACCTTAAAGTAATTTTTTCTTTTAAATGACATAATACAAATTTAATTTGTATTATGTTGTTGTTCATTTAAATTTTCATCCTTAATTTAAGACGCAGTGCACAAAGCAAATGCACCATTACTGAAAGAAAAGAGTTTACAATAGTGTAATTTCTAATCATTAAAATTTTCGAAAATAATTTTTTTACAAAATAAAAAAAAATAATCAGTATATATATATAAACTGAAAAGCCCTCATTTACTCATTCACTCGCTAATTTTTCTACTTTCCATGAAGGTAGAAAAGCTGAAATTTCGAATATGTGTTTCTTTCTTTAATTATTTATATTACGATCATTAAAAAAAAACTAAAAAAGTTTCATTTCGATATTTTGTATTTATCGAGTGATTCTTTAGCTTTACTATCAATCAGCCTAATTGATAATAATCCTAAATAAAAAAGATTCATTTTGATATTTTAAAATTATTGGAGTAATTAGCCTAATTGATGGTAATCCTTTGACACACTACTATCTAATAAAAGAAGTCTCAAAATTGAACAACGTGTTCCTCATCAGACATAAAGAAGAACTAAAAAAGGTAGGTACTTCATATACATTGCACTAGAGCTGCACAGTGGGCTATTGACGATGGTCAGGAAAACATCCTTTAGGAGGATCTGACGACATACCATACCAATTTTGATCCTCTGCAGAGATGACGGCTCCACTGCTCTGGTACCCCGATTATAATTATTCTATAATTATACTTGTGTTCTATAATCATTACTTTTTTACTAAGAAATACTGGAAATATTTTAAGAGTACCAGTTCTAAAATGATTTGAATCTTATTCACCGCTCAATATAAATTTTTTTTATCTCTTTTGTATCATAGGAGCTGTTTCAACATAGTGAAACATTGCTAAAATTACAATGCAAAGGTTTAGATGCCATAGTTGTAAATAGAAAAAATAATAATAAATTACTCATAACAATATAATTATTATGAGTAGCTTTATTAAATTCATATTGTTATGAATTTCTATGATATTAATATCAATTTATGTTATTAATAGTGCCTCAAATTAAGAAAAGTAAAATTTAACATTAAATTTGTTACTTGGTTAATCAATAAGGAAGAAAACATGATAACGATATATTGATAGAAATTCAATAAAGTTCAATTTTTGAAAGTACATTAGGAACTGATTTGATATACGTCTGCACTTTGCACTCGGTTTAATGGATTTTTTCTCTCGCTAAGGATGGTTGACTGAATGTAAACAATAATAAGATTTCTAAAACCGGAAGAAATTATAAAACTTTCGGTGTATCCCTCCGCTTATGTTATGCTTAAGAAGACGCCGTACCGCAGGAGAATATTTCCGTTGCAAATTCTCTTTCTCCCTCATTACTAATTCAAAATTTAAAAGAAAGCAAAAATAAGTTCAGGCAAACCTAGAGTAAGGCATGAAGTTTCAGTTGCTGAAAAATATACTTCAAAATATTAAAATGCAAAACAAATTATCAGAAGAGAACTTCACAGTTGCTTAATCCTTAGTTATCTTCTCATAATCAATTCATAAACAATTCAAATTATTTAACAAAAAATAAGCACCTTTTAAGCACTAAAAAAATATTTTTAAGCACTTTAAAAAAATAATATCGGTTTTATCTTGTTTTAACCGCCATGTCAAAAAAAAAAATCTCTTGGCATTGTTTCTGACAATTGTCAAAAATCATGAAATTTTGAATCATGTAAAACGAATGGCTTTTTCATACGCTACGGACTGACTATAAGCTGAAATAGATTGGGGTTGAATTAATTATGAAAAAGGTTGAAAGAACAATGTGAACTATGTCTTTTTACATATTTTGAAGCGAAAATCAACATAACAAAGGAAAAATCTGATTTTGAAAAGGGGAAAATTAAGCACTTTTTAAAAACACCTAACAAAAAAGCACCTTTATGGGCTTTTAAAAATAAAAAATAAGCACTTTTTAAAAACGCTACGCACCCTGATAATTTATTTTCATTTGTTTATTGTAAAATTTTCCTTTTGGGAGCTATCTGATTCAATAGAAAAACCAATTATACCGTACCTAATGCAATATCATAAAGCAGCATATCATTAGCTGGAAATCACACAGTTCCTTTATTGTATAAGTACTAAATTGTCTTACTAAACATCTGCATGGACAGGACAGTAGAATACCCAACAAAAGTATTTGTTTTCTAATATAGAGACAAATTACTTTTTTACTGAATTCTTTCTTCAGAAATAAAATAAAATCTCGAATGCATACACATAGCTGCCAACATGGATAGGAAAAAATCCAGTAGATTTTATGAAAAAATCCAAATTTCATGGTAATAGTTACAAAATATACTAAATATTTTACACATAGAGAATTTTAGGGATTTTTACAGTTATCAAAATAGAAAAACTGCAATACTTTCCAGTTATCATTTCACATTAAATGAACTTGAAATGCTATGTACAATTTTTATTCATAACTATGAATAGTAATAGGCATTTAATTCATTAAAATACTTATCTGAACTTTACGAATAAGGCTTGCTTCATTATGTATTAGTGACACTTATTTAAATATTCAAGCAAGCAATCTGAACAAAAATTCTATTTCAATAGGTTTTTTTTTAAGGAATCTTCAATTTTAGGGAAATTTCTAGAATGTACAAAAACCAGGAATTTTTATTAAATTAGTAGACCAGGAGAAACTGGCAAATTCCAGTAGTCGACTGGAAAATCCAGTAGAGTTGGCATCTATGCATACATATGAGCTGTGCATTTGTTATTGAACTCTCAATAACAGTGATAAAACATAACAAAATTTAAGAAATTCTGACTAATTGCAAGGTATCGTAATTTTCTTTCAATTTTTAATTAATCTTCGTTTAATGAAGGAAAGTATTTTGAACTTTGATTATAAGATTTTTATTTACAATAAATTGTCTCATTCTCGTAAACATTTAAACTACATTCGCAAATAAACATTTTATATTTGTCAATTGTTCCTCCACAAATCATAAAATAACAGCAATAAATCATAAGAGTTGAAGTAAGTATCAACTACAATAAAAGTTCATTAGTAAATTAGTAGCTAGGTAAATTTTATAAAACTCATTTAAAAAATAAAGGTGAAATTAAGTACAAAAATATTATTACAATTTAAAACGAGCTTTAAAAATTTCAGCGTAGCCTGTATGTGTTAAATTTAAGAACATATTAAGAAATACCTTTATTTCCAATGGAGGACATTTTCTCAAATTATACTTATCAAGATAAAATTCAAGAAACACAAATTTTTTTCGTAAAGAATTTTAAGGAAATAGAATCAGCTTGCTCACAAGATCAACAATAAGAACACACCGATCTGCTTACGACAACACATGAAAACAAAAACATAAAAATTACTTTCGTTTTCGTGTTGCCAAAACTACAGTTAAGAGTGATTTTATTATATTTTTGCAAATAAAGCTAAAAGCTTGTTTTTTTTCATAAAAAAATTATCAAACTTTGTTCAGACTATCATACCTACTGATTTATGAGATCAAAGCATTTAAACTGTATTTTCAGTTACTTATTTTAAGAGTGCCAAAAATTATCGATTTTTTGAACAGAACGCAAACATTTTAAAGTGTTTTCTTTAAGAACGATGGATGTTTACTTATTGACATTCATACAGAATTATGGCTGCCTCTATCACTTGTTATATTAAATTGAGAACAGAATTTTCAAAGTTATATTGCACAAATTCAGTTCTATGTTACAATCTTTTTAAGAGTAAAAACTGTTGTAAACTATTTCACAAATCTTTGTTGTATTTATCTAGAAGATCAAATTATCGAGATTTACGTTTTAATCAGGTCTCTAAATATATATCTGTATATGAATCTTATATATCTGCGATTTTTTTTTTAAATATAATTTATTTGGTATAGGCTTTTACATACGTCTATTACCATTGTAATTAGAATATTTCATGTTAATTCTATTCTACAATATTTACAACAGAATTATTCTCTTGTTAATGAATTAAATCTAATTTTTGGTTTCCATTGTGCTAAAAAAGTTACTAAATTTGAAGTTATTAAAATTGATCAAAATGTATTAAAAGTATCTATATATGATGTTTAATTAATAAATATTTAAGTAATAAATTTCTTTGAAATAAATCATTGATTTAAAATTGCTGATTTTACAGTTCTCTCATATGTCTCAGAGAAAAATATATTTTTTTTCTTCAGAATTTATCAAAATATGTAAAATCACTGGAACAGATATTTCATCATTGTGAGTTTGTCATTATTTTAAGAGGCAAAAAAAGTAAAAAGTCCTATTTTTAAATTTAGGTACTTTTTTGTTACTTGTGTGCAAATAAATTCTACAGTTCAACTAATTATATGTATAGACTTACAATAGATCGTTTTAATTGCAAAGACAACCATAACAAAGTTGCTAATATATATTATCTATCAAAAGTGGCATTGAACTGATTAGCTTGTTCGTTTTATTTAAAGTGTTAGCGTATGCTGTAATGAACATTTTAATAAAAAAATTCCCCATGATACCCAATTTTGTCAAAATGACTAAGATTTGAAAGTGCAAAAATTAAGGAAAGTACAAAAAATTAATAATGAGAGGCAAAAATTAAATTAACTCTAAGTTATAGTTATGAGTTTATAATTTCAGTGTTGATGTTTAACTATATGATTATAAATTTCAAAATACTTGAAATTTTACTTATTTAGCAGGCTTATTTAATTAAAAATGACCCGTTAAGGAATCAAAATGGTCTTAAATATCTAATTCACAGTTTTAAAACTGAAAAATTGCATAAAATATTTAAAAAAGAAAAGGTATCTTCCCGAAAATTCCTATGAAGCCTTGCTCACTTTTTACCTCCCTGTGGGTACCCCTGACTGAATAATAATTATATAAAATATTATTTTTAGAAAATAGGAAAGGAAACCTTGAAGTAAAGTATATTTATGTATGTGGATTTAAAGTAAATCTGAAATAATTTTTTTATTTTTAAATAGGTACGACATTACAGTTATAGAAATAATGGAGCTTCAAAATCTTCTTTGTTTAGTAAGGTATGTTTTTATATTGAATAAAATAAATGAATTCATTTTTTTAAAGTATTTGTTTGATTGAATACTTCACTTGCTAAATCAATTCACTCCATTTTCTGAGTTTCGTTAAATTTTTATATCAAAACACTTAATTGGTTCCTAACTGTGCATATTAAAAATAAATTTCCTTAATAATAAGTATTAAAACTGCTAAACGACTAAATTTTTTAGCCATTGAATGATAAACGCCATGATCTTAATAAATGTATGTCACGTGTTCATTTTTCCTGAAACTGACAGCCAAACTGACAACCATAACATATAATAGCACCAATAATTGTAAATATTCGCATGTGTATCTACAGAGATAGATTCGGTCCGATTCTTGCACTCTCGTGTGCAACTCTGCTGCATTTTGCAAGATATTCTCAATTTCAGGCTTCATTTTCCACCCTCTGATATCGAACCAAAAAATATCTCTATCTTTTTATGGTGTCATATATAATCAAGCGAAAGATTTCTATGTCAGAAACTTGCTATTTTATCATGATCATGTAAAGTCTTAAAAAATTATTTTGCATTTTGTTAATGTATATGGTGCTTAAAAATATTTTTGAGTGCTTAAAAAGTACTTAAATGGTGCTTATTGTTTGTTGAATGCTTTGGCTATACCACACCCTGGATAAATAACACCCTGTATTTCTATATTTTTAAATTACAGTGAATTGCATTTTATTAAGCAACTGACAAGGAAAAATATTAATTTCGGAATCAAAAAGATGTGAACGTTGTTCAGACATTCCAAGTTTGTTGTGATGGATTTGTGTGATTTGATTTTAGGTCACATTAGCAAAGGTTTAGGTGTTGTTCTTAACTTTAACTGTTTGAAGATGGTGAGAGTAATAAAACTGAGCTATATAAAGAAGGGACAATGTAAAATATATAAAAAAAAAATTTCTTCTGTCTAAACTTAGTATAAATAGAGTATTTTTGTTGCAGCTGAAATCAGTAACAAGAAACGATGCTCGACCTTGCTTCCATCCCGGAGCGTCCACTCTTCTTGTATCACAAGTTGGTATTCCCTCGAAAGAGATGCAGGGGTGGACGATTGTCAAAAAGATGTTCAACTACATCTGGCCAAAAGATAAACCAGAAATAAGGAGAAGAGTTGTTCTCGCTTTAGGACTCTTAGTGGGGGCAAAGGTATTCAATCATTTGCTCTTTATATCTTCTTTACTTGTTGACATCTCTTTTTCTTAAGTCTGATTTTATCTTTTGATTTATATCTTTTAAATACACTTGATATATAAGCAATAAATAGGAGAAAGACTTTTAACATATTTTTCAAATTCAGGAGCCCTAAGCATTGAGCTCTCATGGGCCCCCTGGTTATTATTTTAAGCAAAATTTAACTGTTGTTTAATAATGAAGTGTGTTTTAATTTTTTATAACAGAAGTAAATTACATTATTTTAATTATTAATCAATTAATTTTTAATGTAATTTTTTTTGTTAATTTTTTATAAATATCTTATTTTAATAATTTTTCTTCTTCTCTTTTCATTAATTTGTAATATTTTCCACATTTCCTCGATATTTTTAAATTATGTATATATATATATATATTAGAGGTGCACAACTTTTTTGAGTGAAGGGCAACTTGCACAGCACATAGATTAATGAAGGGCCGCAGGCATATTTAGTCATGTTAGCGACAAATATGATAATTTTTATCTAAACATTAGTGTTCTAAGCACCAAATATTTTTATCAGTAAATTTAACATATTTGTAAATAATTATATACTTTTAATTATTTGAATTTATTGGAAAATAAAAGTGCAAAACAAAACGCATTTTATAGAGTAAAATAAATTTGAATTAAATATTTTAATAAAAGAAAATTAATAATGTTTAAACAAAAACCAAATGAAAAGAAACTTTTTATTGCTTTTAGAAGTTCCCGCAAACTGCGCTTTAACAGTTGCCAGTAACCCTCAGGCCATAGGTTGTGCACCCCTAATATTTATATATATATATATATTAATTATTTTAACACCTAATTTTCATTTTTTTAAAATTGTACATCTATTTATAATGATATTTGACTAATAGTATTTGTTTTTTATTTTAGCTTCTCAATATTGAAGTGCCATTTCTTTTCAAATACGCTGTTGATTACTTAAACTTGCATGCTGGGCAAGGGCTCAATATTGATACACCTTCATCCACCATTATCACTGTTGCCACAGCTATTATTCTTGGCTGTAAGTTTAGTCATCTTACTTCCTAAATTCTTAGTTCAAAAAAATTCTTTTCTTTGATTTATGAATTATTTTTCATTACACCTGTGTTTTAAAACCTAGAACGAAACAGATTTTTCAAATTAAAGCTCTCATATTTTTTATTATTATTATTATTTTCTTCGCTTTATAAAGTACTTTTCATTATGCCTGCAATTTTAAACATAAAGAGGAACAGATTTTTCAAATGAAAATTCTCATATCTTTGTAAAGTTGCAGATATTTTAATTATGTATTTCAGATCTACAGACACTAACTATCACTAATAAAGAAAACAAAAAGCTGATTTGACTAATGAACTTTGCAAAAATTTGAAATCGTATTTTTAATCATGGGATCGTTTTTCTAGTGTGAAAGGAATTCTCACTCTAGAAAAATGATCACAATTGTCATCACTGAAGAACAAACATGTGTTTGAAACTGTTTTTAGTTTTATTTATTGTAAACCGTTACATAAATTGTTACTCAAACTATGTATTATTATTATTTTAGATGGAGTAGCAAGAGCAGGATCTTCATTATTTAATGAATTAAGGAATGCAGTTTTTGCCAAAGTAGCTCACGACTCAATAAGAAGGGTTGCTAAAAGCGTTTTTCTTCATCTTCATAATTTAGATTTGAGTTTTCATCTGTCACGTCAAACTGGTGCTTTGTCTAAAGCTATTGATAGAGGCACAAGGTATACTATAAGAGATGGCGGTTGTTTCATAATGTCTAAGGATTTGAGACATTAGGAATATTAGAAAAGATTATACCTATCAATGGATTTAATGCCTGTATATTATATTCATGTTTCTACTTTTATATATTTATTTGTAAGTGACTTTAACACATTTTTTATCACAGCTGACAGAAATCTATTGTATATAAAATTTATAAAATTGAAGTAGAGTTCACTGGAGTAATGTATGTAGATCAGGGTTAAAAAAAATTCGCTTTCTAGCTATAATTGTACCTGATAGATTTAATTTATTTTTTCAGACTTTGTCGTAAAAAAAAAAAACTAAATACTATCAAATGTATTTTGTTAAAAATATATTAAATTTATTGTTGTTTTAAAATTGCACTTTTTGTCATAAATTGTAATTTATTTTATGTGTATCTATATATAAGTTCAAAATTTCTAGAAAACATGCAAAAAATTACAGAATAATTAAATGAGAATAAGAAAATTATCATTAAAATAAATATTAAAAACCAGGGGGGGAAAAGATATAATCTCTTCATCAGCTCACACAATTATATCTGCAAAAAGGAGTGCTTTCTAATATTGTATCAATATAGTCAAAGTATTTCAATACTAAGCATGCCAAAAAAAATCCTTTTTGTATTTGTTTATTGTGCTATAATATATATATATATATATATTCAATGTTATAATTTTGTTTAGAGGGATTAACTTCGTCCTGTCAGCTTTAGTTTTTAATGTTGTTCCTACAGCTTTTGAAGTTGCTCTTGTTAGCAGTATTTTGGTAAGTTTTTCTCTTTTAAAAATTTATTTCATCTATTGCATTTCATTTTTTATTCCTGACTTTTTTCCATTTGTTAACAAGGTTTGTTTAAGAATTTTGTTTTAAGTTATTTTTACTTTTCATTTATTATTGATAGCACAAATTTTTCTATGTGTTGATATTCAGATCAACTAGTCATTTTTAGCTATTTAACTTTGAGGAATATACAAATTCAATTTAAATATATATGGTAATGGTTGTCTACTTGGATCCTTCCCAAAAATTTTTATTGTGAAGCAGAACTCTTCACTAAATATGAAAAAATTTTTTACAAAATCTTCGTAAAATTTTTATTACAGAAACAGTTCCTTTAAAAAATTCTGATGACGGCTCTAATTCATGATTTAAAAATTAAAACTTCTTGAAGTTATTTGTTGTTGTGTTCCTTCCCCCCCCCCCCAAAAAAAAAACAACTTATTTCCACTTATTCACAAAATTATGAGTAGATTTTTCTCCACTTCTTGAAAAAAACTTCTCACAAAAAGTCCCAAACAATTCCTTCTAAACAATATTGTATGAAATTTACTATCTTATTGTCATAAATATCTTAATATCTTATTGTCATAAATATCATTTGTGTCATAAATTGCAGTTCTTCACAAAATTGGTGTTCTCTTTTATTTTTAACTAAGCTATGGAATTTGTTTGCAGGTAAGACATAATATATATAATTATATAAATATATTTCTTATATTTAACTACGGTTGTGAATGCATGCTCTAATAAGAAAAGTATCCCATGAATATGTATAACAATCTTATCAAGAGCTTAGAGTATTGCTAAAGTATCTTATTTGAAAGACCATGAATTAATTTATTAGATTAAACAATGTATTAATAAAAATTCGAATTAATAATGTTTTGTATTTTAATATTCAAGAGAGAAAGTATCATTACAATTGTATCGAATAAAAAATCTGCCAAGAGCAGTTAAATTTATAAAACAAACAAAACATTTTTTAAACAGTGTTATTAGCTACTTTCAAGTTGAATTTGTGAAAGTAAAAAAAAAAAAAAACATTATTGTGAAACTTTATTGTGAGTACTTGCTTGGGTAAGCTTAAGAGGACGCCATATAACAGAAGAAAATTTTCCTCGCAAATTCTCTTTCTCCTTCATTACTAATTTAAAATGTAGAAAAAGTGAGTTCAGACAAACCTAGAGTAAGCCATGAAGTTTCAAATACTGAAAAGAAAATTTTAAAATATACAAATGAAAATAAAATACGAGATGATAACTAAGGATTATGCAACAGAGAAGTTCTCTTATAATAACTTGTTTGCATTTTAATATTTTGAAATATTTTTTTCAGCAATTGAAACTTCATGACTTACTCTAGGTTTGCCTGAACTCACTTTTTCTACATTTTAAATTAGTAATGAAGGAGAAAGATAATTTACGAGGAAAAATTTCTTCCGCAGTATGGCATCCTCTTAAACCTTGTTCAGAAGAGTCTCGTTAATTTAAAGTTGAACGGGACCAAGCCTACCTCAAATTATCGAAACATAAAATTCAATCAATATTTAAATAAATGGAAACAAAATTTTAAAAATTTTGGAAACAAAATTAAAGAAAATTTACTTACATTCGAGGATCAAGTTACATTTACTACCTTACACCAAATTACAATATTCATTATATTACTGCATCAAAATAAAGTAGTTGTAGTTAGCTACAAAGAAAATATAGTTTTTTTCCGACCACTGGCCTGAACTCATCTTTAGTTTCAATAAATGATTAAATATGTTAGCAAAAGAGCGTTTTAAGTGTTTTGATGGAGTTTTTCATTTTGATTTTTTATTTATTTATTTATGTGTGTTTTAGTATTATAAATGTGGTGGCAAATTTGCTCTTGTTACACTTGGGTGTATTGGTGGTTATGCAGCCTTCACTTTGGCAGTTACTCAATGGAGGTAAGACATTTTTTTAAATTTATATTACTTAATTTTCTTACTTAAGCTTATGAGTTTTCTTACTTAACATTACAGGTTTTCTTTATTAAGGCTATAAATTTTCTTACTTAAGATTTATTTAAGGTTATAGGTTTTCTTAAGTTTACAGGTTTTCTTCATTAAGGCCATAAAATTTCTTACTTAAGATTTATTTAAGGTTATAGGTTTTCTTACTTAACGTTACAGGTTTTCTTTATTAAGGCTGTAGATTTTTTACTTACAATTTATTTAAGGTTATAGGTTTTCTTACTTAAGGTGCCAAGTTTTCTTACTTAAAATTGCAGGTTTTTCCTTCTCTTTCTCAGTTTTCACTGCTCAGAAATAGCAGAAAAGACCTGTAATTGCCTGGGAACTTGCATTCAGTTAAATATGAGTGAAAGAAAGTAAAGGATGTGTTTTTTACTTTTTCCAAAACCTGAAAAAAAATCCTACAGTAAATATGAAACATATGGTATTCTAAGTGGCCATGTCAATAAAATTGTAAAGCAAGACTATTCTTTTTTGCAAATAATGCTACTCTATACAGATTAAATTTGTTTTTAAAATTCAAGATATATGATAGCTAGTTGTAACACAGGTATTATGTATTTTAATTAAAAGTACTTTTATTTGAAATGCATATAAACATGCACATAAACATATGTATAAGTACTATATACTTAGATATACACATATGTTTTTGTCATACTTGTCAGATGTTATTTGGAGAATAATGAAAAAATTCTTTTTCAAGAAGGATAGCACAATTTGTGAAATATTATTTTGAATTTTGTATATATCCAAAGCTTGTTATTGTTTTTAAATATGGTTCTTTGCTATATTGGCTGAGAGCAGTCAAAACTCTGATTCATGTTCTAAAATTTGGTGTAATATTTAAATTATAGCTAATAATATTAAGTGTTAAATTTTTAATTGTCGAACATATATAATATTATGCTTCTATATGCACTGCAAAGCATATAAAATGTTTCTTTTTTTTATGTTTAATTCTAAAAATATTTTACAATTCTATCTCAAAAGTTAGATTTTGTTACATATGACAGAAACAATTGTGTTTCTGGATAAAAAAAATTTCCACAATTAGAAAAATTTGGTCAAGACTTAGATTGAAATTTAGTTTGTCAGTTTACTGGATTATAAATTTAACTTGTTAGTTTCTTGCAGAGATATATATCAAATTAAACACTTCTTAGCTAAGCAATAATTTTTTTTTTACACTTTCAGAACACATTTCCGAATTACCATGAACAAAGCAGAAAATGAAGCTGGTAACAAGGCTATTGATTCTTTGATTAATTATGAAACTGTGAAGGTATTTTTATAAAAACTTCTTCCAAAAAGTGTATTATTATGATATTTTTAATTGTTTTTTAGCAAAAAGAATTCAATTTGTACCTTTATTGCAGTACTTTAACAATGAGCTTTATGAAGCTGAGCAGTATGATAAAGCTTTGGCAAAATTTGAAGCGGCTTCTCTAAAGACAACTACAAGTCTGGCCATGTTAAATTTTGGACAGAATGCTATATTTAGCACAGCCTTAACAGTCATCATGGTCATGGCCAGCAATGGCATTATAGATGGTGAGTTCATGCTTGTCCATTGAATCAAAACAGCTATATGTCTGTTCATATTACTGTCAGATCATATTTTATATTAATGTTTTTGTGTTGAATTTTTAGATTAATGTGTTATAACAGATTTTTCTATATTTCAACATTGTTTACTTAAATTATGTTTGTTGAATATACAATCAACAAAATTCAGCATACAATTGGCAATTTTATTTTTATTATTTCAGCTCTCAGTATATTGCAACTTATAATATAAAAATTTTTGTTTTTGGATGTGCTTATTGAAATAAGTTCTAGTAAATATTTATTTCGAATGGGAAATTTAGTTGTTTTTATTATATTAATATTTCAATTTAATTAAATTTTAAATATGTCTATTAAAATTATGCCTACTTCATTTGATTTTAAATTCATCTAAGGTATTTTATTTTTTTAATTGCTTTTATCTTAGCTGTTAAATTTGTCAGAAGTATATGTGCAAATATTGTAGTCAGTAGTGCGGAGAGTTCGCTAAGACAAAGTTTGATAGTGTTACGAATTGGTAAATGTGTGCATAATTTTAGGAACATTCTTTTGTCTTGAGGCTAAATATCTCAGACAGACCATGAATAAACAGTTGAATTAAAAAATTTGTAATAAAGTCACTTAGTTCTAACATAATTTAGAGAGAAAATAATGCCTCGTGTATTACTTACGTAAGACTCAGTTTGGCGACATTTTTGTCGACTTGGAGATAATGTGTGCAATAAAATGATAGTTCTGAAAAATTCGAGTTTCAGAGCGATAGTATGGAAATTTACGGAGTTAGGCAAGAATCGTCTATAAAGTTTCTGGGTTTAATGGTGAAGTCTATATATATATATAGGAGTGTGACTTGTACAGTAGATAGGCTTATTAAAAAAGTGTGCAAAGATAAAACAATATTGTTTTTAAGAGGAAAATTTAAACTCGTTTAGATCTTCTTTTGACTTTGTTGAGTAATAATGTATTTACCCATTCAAGTCATGGAAAGTGTTTGGTAGAAGTCATGGATTTAAAAACTTTAGATTTAGTAGATACCCCGAATTGAGTGCTAGAAATAGCTATATTTTCTGGAAGATTCCGCTAATAAATGTTTGGCGTCTTAAGGACTGTTTTATTCATCTTCAATCAAAATGAGCCCCTGTCCTCGGTACATTATCCTGTACCTGCCAAGTCTCCTGTTTTTTAATGTAGGTTCCTGTATTTTACAACTATCTCCTGTTAAATTGTATATTTTCAAATTTCTCCGTATTTGTTGAAGAATTTTTAAAAAAAATGGTAATAAAATAGCCGCTGATGACAAAAATACTTCTCTTATTCCTCAACAGATGGGACTATTGCCAGTACTGCAGTATGTTGAGTGGTGTCTGATGGGATAGAGTATTTGCCAATGAGGTGAACCAGGTTCTAATCCTAGCGATGGCTGGTCGATACAAATTTAGGATTGGTTTAGAGTCCCATAGCCGTCAGGCTAACCATGGGAGGCCTTCGTGGTTTTCCTCTCCGTGTAACACAAATCTGGGTTAGTTCCATAAAAAAGTCCTCCACGAAGGCAAATTTCTCCCAATACTTGATCCAGAAATACCCTTGTCTTCTGGATTGGGTTTAAAATTACAAGACTACGGAACTGAACATTAGTAGTCCTAAAGCTTGAATTAGGTCGGCTGTTCAACAACGGTTATAAAATAAAATAGTTTAAGTAATTATAAATAATGGTTTAAAAATAATCTTCTTCAGATTAAAATTTATATACATATTTTTTACTTTGCTAATTGTAAGTGCTTATATTATTACCAATTTTGAATTTCTCTTTTTGACTTACAAGATTATGCATGATGCATCAAAACTTTACTCGTACCCTGAAAAATATCGCTAGTAAAATCTCCGTTATTTTATTTCTCCAATGTTGGCAGGTAGCTGCACCCATAATGTTTTAAATAAATAAATAGAAAATGTTGCTTATTAATTATTTTTGTGAGATTAAAAATTTTATTTCAGTTATTTTTAGATATTACAGTAGGGAACCGATTATCCGGAACGATCGGGACCATCGCTATTCCGGATAACTGATTTTTCCGGTTTTCTGAATCGCTACAAAAAGCCGTTTTTTTTATTGTTAAACCCAACTAAAAAAAATTATATTTGGAAATAATCTTAAAAAGAAGAAAAAACGAAGTAATACACTAATGATTATTTCCAAAATGATAGTAAAGTAAACATCTTTCCAAAAAGAAAGAAAAATCCTAAAATCTTATGAGGAAAAAAAAATTTTTTTTTAAAAAATGGCGGGAAAATTTATTGAATTTCGTTCCGGTTTTTTGGTTTTCTGATTTCCGGATAACGGGTTCTGTACTGTATTATTAATAACTGAGTCATTTTATTCTGTGTTCAGGTACAATGACTGTTGGTGATTTAGTGATGGTGAATGGTCTCATTTTCCAGTTGTCCCTCCCCCTCAACTTCTTAGGATCTGTTTACAGGGAAATCAGACAGTCACTCATTGATATGCAAACCATGTTTGCCATTCTCAGTTTACAGGTTCCAGTTCAGGTAATTCAATTTCTTACCTTATTTTATTATTATAATACAGTCAGACTTCGATATAAGGTCATCCGCATATAAGGTCGCCCCGCATATAAGGTCGCCCCGCATATAAGGTCATTTTCCAAAGTCCCGGCTCACTGAATAGAAATTCTTTGTTACAGATTATCGGATATATGGTCAGGTTTTAAAAATCGTTATCGCTTATAAGGTCATTTTTATCCGAGGCTTCGAACAAAATCCTATTTAACTTCCTTACAAGGCAATTACCCCTCTCGAGTTCTAGGAAAATGTTGTAGCCAATGAACAAGCTACAATTTCTGAAATTGTTTCACAAGTTGGGGACAGTGATTACAATGACAGTGATCCTGAGACTGTAGCTGTAACCCAAGTGGATGCCTTCAATGCAATAAATGTCATATGAATTTTTTTTACAAACCATGAGGGAGCTGAGGAACATTTCGAGAAGTTACAAAATCTAGAAAACATTGTTCAAAAAATTAAACCAAAAACGAGACAGACCTACATAAATGATTATTTTAAATAAGGTAAGATGTAATGTATGTATGTACACTTTGAGGAAATTTGTAAACAGCTTTATTTAAAATTAAAAGATTTTCTAAAAATCTAACTTTCTTTAATTCTTTACTAATTTTGTTAAAATTTATTGACTTAAATATTTAATTTATGGCCAATCGTTTTCATTTGTATTACCATTTTTAAAAAGTTATAATGTGTACTATTTACGTGCTTAGTTACGAACTGCTAATGAATCGGTTAAAAGGTCACCCCGCTTATAAGGTCACTTTTTCAATGTCCCTTAGGGGGACCATATATCGAGGTCTGACTGTATATATATTTTTTTGAAGCACCTGTGGTCATATAAAGAGACTACTTTTAACATGTTTTTAGCAATTTAATTCTTGTCAACACTCTCCTATGCTTTTTTTTTAAAATGAAAAGGATTGTTTTTTACTGTAACTTACTGTAATATTTTCAAATTAAATTTTTTAAAAAAAATTTAACTTTGCATAAATCAAAATTTATGTTTTGATTCATTTTATTAAGTCCTTGAAGAAATTTTTTCCTACTCTTCTTTTTCTCAAATGTAAATTTTATTTCAAATATAAAATTTTTACAAGTGTAATTTTTTTCAATTTTGTTTTATTTTTTTAATACATTTAAAAAAAATGGAACTATGAAGATTTGTGCCTTAGGTAAGCATTGCCCACTTTTCAACTCCCATAACTCACTCTGCTCTATTACAATATATTTGAATTGATCAAATTATCTATAACTTACGAAAAAAATGTAATAAAACTTACATTTAAAATTTTTTTTACACTGATTGTTATAGCATTCGATTTTTTCTAGTGGTTGAACCATGGTAATTGTTTAATTATCACTAATGCTTATTGATTATTAGAAAACATAGTAAAACTTTACTCGTGCAAACTCCACGCTATGAGATGCAGTGGTCTAATTATTTTTTCCCCATCACTCTCAGATTCTCTGTTTTAAAATTTTTCATAATAAATTTAGGATCTCATTAAATTATTGCTTATTATGAAAAAGATTTGCTGTTACTTGATATTTTCACAATTGTTAAGAGTTTGTAAAAGTTTAACTGTAAGGTTAAGTTTTGGTTTATTATCATGCCAAATCAATTTTTTGATAAAATTTAATTCAATCAAAAACAAATGCTGCATCAGGTGTCGAAACTGACTTTGCCTTTGGAATCGTGGCATAAATGGTATGGGTTTGATATCTGAATAATTAGATATGTTGCTTGTTCCAATTGTTCAAAAAATTATTAAAGTTATCTGTATGAAAAATAAAATTGCAAAATGGAACTAAATTACAAAAATAATTGCTCATAAAAATTAGAGTTGTCAATAACGAAATAAAAATTTAAATTTCAAAATGAAAACAAAACCTAAGATAAGAAATATAATTACAATTACTTAATGCAAAAATATTTGGTTTATCTATTACAATATTTACATGGTAAAAATTGCTGCCATCCATAATAAGAACCAAAGTTTTTCAAGAATCATTGATTGTAGAAAAATGATAAATATGATGTGTAAATAAATTCAAATGAATATTTATTTAATTAATAAATGAGTTTAAAGATATCTTTTCATAAATTTCTGAAAGCTCCGGTAACTCGAGCTTTCCTGTTAGGCGAATTCCAGGTACTCTGGTTTTACGGTATTTGATATTATTATTATTTTAGTGAGGTCTATTTAAATAATAGTTCAGTGTTTGTAATCATGCAATATCTCTAAAATGTGCTTGTATTTAAATTTTCAGAAGTCATCAGAAAATTTCTTTCAAATTTCACCAAAGCAAGCAGAGGTTGTGTTTGAGAATGTTGGCTTTCAGTATGTTAAAGGGCAAAATATTTTATCCGACTTGAGTTTCAGAGTACCTGCTGGAAAGAAAATTGCCTTAGTTGGCGGCAGTGGCTCTGGGTGAGTGTTCTATTTATTTAGTTATAGGGATAATAGACTATGCTGTAGTTTGAATACTAATGCTTTGAGACCCACGCAGACCTTTTATCATATTGTTATGCTCACATTTCAGCTAAGAGAGAAAAACAGATTCAATGAAGTAAAAATGTATTTAAATTAAAATTTATTTGATTAATTTCAAATATGTTTTTTTTTGTTCTAACGTAATAAATGTTTCTAACACAGAATTAAGGCAAGAAGTAATTTTTTTTTTTTTTTAAAACTTGCTCTTTTTTTCAAATTGTTAGTTTTTTATTGATTAATTAAGTATACAACGTATACACAGGGTGCATAGCATTTTTAAAAAGTGCTTGCAGGTGCTTTTTTATTAAGTTTTTTTAAACAGTGCTAAATTTTCCCTTTTCAAAAATGAGATTTTTTTTCTTTACCTTTTACCATGTCAATTTTCGCCAAGTATTATGCAAAAGCGTGGTCTTCACATTGTTTGATTCAACGTTTTCACAATTCACTCAGACACAAAGCATTTCGGTGGACCGTCGTTCCATAGCGTATGAAAGCTACAATAATTTTACATGAAATACTTGCGGGTCCGCACCTGCGTATACTGAGCTACATTAAGTGGGAATTACTCTTGACCACTTATGTGCAATTCTGCTGCATTTTTCAAGAGATTCTCAATTTCTGGTTTCATTTTCCACTTTCTGAAATTGAACCAAAAAATCTATCTTTTTTTGGTGGCTAATGTAATCAAGAAAAGAGTTCTTTGTCAGAAACTATAGTTATTTTATTATGATCATATAACGTGTGAAAATTATTTTGTTAATGCATAGAGTGCTTAATAAGTACTTAAAATGTGATTATTTCTAGTACAAAGATGTATACAGTACTGGATTTAGTAGGGAACAACAATGTGAGCTTTTTTTTACGCAAGCACTTTTTTAATGGTCATTCAGCTGCACTAAATTTCATCTTTCAAAGCAATCATAGTCTTATTGATCAAAATTTTTGATCATGATCACTGTTCATGATCACAAGAATAAAACAACGTTATTTCACTGTAATAATGTGTTGTTTTATGCTGTGCTCCATTTTTAGTAACCCCAAACTATCAGTGTTCACATTTTGGTGACATTTTATAGCACAAATGGCGCAGAATTGGATACTTACATTAGTTTTGGAGGACCCTTCTTTTCTTATTTAAATGAGTATGCAAAAGCATAAAGTTTTATTGAGCCCATAATATTTTGTAACAATTATTACATTCTTAAAATTAAAAGTTCTTTGAATTATGTGGCTTCAACATACCAAATCTGTTTATAGAAATGCCTAAATGATCATTTTTAAAGTAGAATATGTAATTGAAGGATTTTAAGAGGGGAAAAAAATGTTTCTTACAACATTGATTTAAAGTTATGCTACATTGAGTAAAAAACTGTCCATCATTACTATTAGTAAAATGCATTAATAAATGCTGTAAATTTCAAGAAATAATATAATGATAATAATTAATAATAAATAAAAATGCGTAAAAAAAATTAAGAATGTAAAATGCGTTTTTGTGATTTTGGATAAAAAGCAATGGACAATAATATTGAGATAATATATATTAATATATATGAATAAACATTAATGCATAATAAAAATATATGAGTATGAAATACTTTTAATAGAAAGTAATCTAATGCAGAATGAAAATTGTTTAGTATTACTGGTAGTAAAATACATGAATGGATACTGTAAAACTCATAAATCTTGTATTAAGTAATCATAATTATTAATGAATATTAATTCATAAAAAAGAAATATTCATACATTCTTAGATTGAAACAAATTATAATTAATGAATTAAATTCTCTGTAACAGATAATTAATGAATAAATTTTCTGTCTGTGTTTTTTAATTACTGATAGTAAAATACATAAATAGATACTGTAAAATTCATAAAATCTTGTATGAAGTAGTAATAATTATTAATGTATTGAATTCTCTGTCACAGATAATTAATGTATAAATTCTCTGTCTCTGTTTTTCAATTACTGATAGTAAAATACATAAATGGATACTGTAAAATTCACAAAATCTTGTATGAAGTAATTATAATTATTAATGAATAAAAAGGCAATATCAATATATTATCAGATTGAAAGAGATTATAATTAATGTATTAAATTCTCTGTCACAGGAAATCAACAATTGTGAGATTATTATACAAGTTCTTTGAGCCTCAAAATGGCAAAATATACGTAGCAGGGCAAAACATCAATGAAATGGATGTTAACGTTCTTCGCAAGGCAATTGCTATCGTACCTCAGGTAGACATACATTTTCTCTGCTTTTTTCTTCTGCCTCATTTTATGCATCTTTATTTATGTGTGTTGACCTTACAGGATGCTGTTTTATTTCATAATACAATAAAATACAATCTTCACTACGGAGACTTTAGCAGATCGGAAGAGGATGTTTTTGAAGCTGCTAAAATGGCGGAGCTACACGATTCAATTTTAAAGTGGCCTTATCAGTATGACACACAAGTCGGGGAACGGGGACTCAAATTATCTGGTACTGTTATTTAATGTTATTATGGATTTTACAATAAGAGTTTTCGCGCACATTACAATCAACACTCAATATAATGATCCTCATGGTTAATATGTTGTGAGTGCATAATCCTCATAATTTGTTAATATGTTGTGAGTGCACAAAAATATCATAAAATTGTTATCTTTTATAAAATGAAGATTAAATTGGAGTCGTAGTGGCTCAGGGGATAGAGCATTTGCCTTCCAATGAGGTGAACCAGGTTTGAATCCCATCGGTGGCTGATCGATACGAATTCAGCATCCGGCTTGCACTGGCCACAGTGTTGACTTAAAAATATCCTCAGAGGTAGACAGATCATGGGTTAGTCTCCTTGAAGTCAGGCTAACTGTGGAAGGTTTTCCTCTCCATGCTATGCGAATGCGGCTAGTTCCATAACAACTTCCTCCACAGAATCCAAAGGCGAATTTCACCCAAAACTTCCCTTGTCTTCTGGGGTGGTTCAAAATTACAAGAATGACATATTGTATACTACAATAATATCTTGGAGCTGTGATGGTTCAGGGAATAGAGCGTTCGCCTTCCAAAGAGGTAAACCTGGTTAAAATCCCAGCAATAGCTGGTTGATGTGAATTTCGCTCTCGGCTTGCACAGACCACAGTGTGAAGTAAAATATTCCCAGTGGTAGACGGATCATGGGTTGGAGTACCCCTACTGTCAGGCTAATCATGGAGAGTTGTTGCAGTTTTCCTATCCGCATAACGCAAATGTAGGTTAGTATCAAAATGTCGTCCTTGAAGGCGAATGCCTCCCAATACTTGATGCACATGGTGCGTAGCATTTTTAAAAAGTGCTTATTTTTGATTCACGTTTTTTAAAAGCCCATAAAGGTTCTTTTTTATTTGGTATTTGTAAAAAGCGCTTAATTTTTTATCTTTTAAGAAGAGATTTTTTCTTTGCCATATCGATTGTCGTTCTAAATTACAAAAAATTCATGATTTTTCTAATTTTCTCTGCAATATTTATCAGAAACTAGTTATTTTATCATGATTATGTAAAGTTTTCGAATTTTATTGATTTTGTGTTCATAAATTAAGAACTTTAAAAGGATGGGGGAAAAAAATTTTGCTACTGCACAGATTCTAGTTGTGATTTTTTTTTTGGAAAGTGATTAAAAATATTTTTTGTGTGCTTAAAAAGTACTTAAAAGGTGCTTATTTTTTGATGAAAAATCTGGCTACGCACCCTGATGCAGTAGTTCCCTTGTCTTCTGGATTGGGTTCAAAATTACAAGTCTACGGAGTTGACCGTTGTTAGTCGCAAACCCAAAAAAATTGAGTTGGCTGTTCAACGACGGTTATAAAACAAAATAAAATAGATGTGGCATTATTATAAATGTTTTAAAATATTCTGAAAATTAACTTATTCCCTGCTTATTTCTTAATTTTTTTTTCCATTTTAGAAATAAACCTTGCAATATTTACTATATTTTGTGAAATGTACATACATTATATCAATTTTTTTTTTAATTGTTTAAAACTTTCACTTTTTGAAATGGATACTTTTTAAAGAGTGATCGCTTTTGAAAGAAACTACATCTGACCAGTAGCACAATTTCCTGATTTTGCCCTGTAATAGTTAACCCAAAAGTTATTCTGCTGTTTTCTTTTGCTAACTGTCCCCATGTGTGATATATAAATTTAAGAAACGGAACATTAATAGAAACATAATCATAATATTATTATTTATAGGGGGTGAGAAACAAAGAGTAGCTATAGCTCGAGCTATTTTGAAAAATTCTCCCATTTTGATTTTCGATGAAGCAACTTCAGCTTTAGATTCCATTACAGAAGAGGTATGTTTAAGACTTTCTTATCAGTTGCTTTGAATTTCCAATTCAAATAAAATAAATTATTTCTATCAGACATTATTTTGGATGCACAATTTGTCTCTAAGATTTTGAACATAAAACTATAATATCAAAGTTCGAAAAATTTGCTTGACTGGTTAAATGCTAGATAGTGTAAGTAGTAAAAGAAGTTAGATTTTTTAAAAATAGTTTCAACAAATACTTATAATCATTATGTGAACAAAAATATTACTAAAATAAATTATAGACATTTAATTTATAACAAATTTAATTGAGCATTTTTTAACTCATTGAAAAAGTGCATGTATTCTAAAACCACTTTTTTAAACTCATTTATAAAATTAATTAACTGAAATATGCTATTTAATATACATCATATTTGTAATTGTTTCTAATTCATGAATATTATGTAAGCAACATTTCTTGTTATGATTATAATATCAACCTCCTGTTTATGGACATTTCTGCAAAACGGGTGCCTCTCAATATGGACATTTTTTTAATTCTCTGAATAAACCATTATGTATATTCTCCGCAAAACTGACGATCACGTAACTTGACTGTCATTTTTGCCCTGAAATGTTATTTTTTATCTCTTCAAACTGGACTCTACTTTTTCTAAATTTGAAAAAAAAAACTACTTCTGCTTTAAATTACAAAAAGAAAAAGATTCAACTTTTCACCTTTTTCAAAGCATATAAATTTTTTGCCTTATGCATAACTAAAAATATTAAGCTATTTCACTACTAAAGAATCAATCTTTCTCTTGTCATCTTGCCTTTTCTTTGCAAAGAAAGTTGAGAAAATGATACTGCTCTGTTCTTGTGAAATTATTCAGACATTGGCATCTTTTCATCTGGACAATGCAGGTTTATAAGACCCCTCAAGTTAGAGGAAGTCTTAAACGTTCTCAATGCTTCTTCCCCACTGAAAATTTCTTTCATTTTTGTATCAATCTGAAGGCTGTATTTAACACAGCTGGATATAAGAAGAGAACAGAAATATAATTTAATCTTTGATTTGTTCATATAAATGAAAATTTATTTAGACACTTGATGGATAATTAATTGTGAAAAATCAACTCCATAGGTCTTCATGCCTTACTTTTTTTTTCTTCTGAGAATCGTGGGAGGTTAACTTTCATGGAAGTATTAACCACGTTTCCTATCAAGTGATGGATAGGTGTTAGGGGTGCAAACCAATAATGGAAACCGACTGAGGACAGCTCCTGTTCAGTATCATATGACTAACTTGAATATCTGTGTTTTAATAGGAAAATTATATCAAACTTTTTCATATATTCTTTTTGCATAGAAAAAAGTACTTTTTAAAGTTTAAATAAATATCCTTGTAGGTAGTTATTGAAAATTATTTATGTACCTTTGAAAATATTCAAAATAAAATTTATTGTGTTAAACTTCGCTATTAGGGTACCCTTCCCATAAACATAAAATTTTTTCGGAACCAAGAATGTCCGCTTAACCAAGGTTTCACTGCACATGAATTTGTGTCTCAGATTATGTCTTATTGTTATTCGCAATTTCAATATTTCATGCTAATATATTTTTATTTAAGATTTGAATTTTCTATATCAATTGACATATATCAGGATATTTAAAATCCGCATGAAAATCAATATCAATAACTGCCGAAAATACAACCGAAACACTACATCGATGTACAATACTATCGGCGTAAATTGAGCACGTCAAAAAGTCGTTATCTTAATGCGTAATTCAAATATTATGTAAAAAGAATTATTCTTTTTTTTACTTTTCAAGATAAACATCTTTTTGCAAGAACTCTGTAACCTTCTGCTACCATGTCGCCGTGCTACCGCTACGGGTCCAGACAAATGGCATGGGGAGAGTTCTTACTTTAGACAGACATTGTTTGATTGTTCTTATTGTTTCTTTTTAGAAAATACTGGCTGCACTTCAGAGGGCTGCTGAGGGTCGCACAACCATTTGTATAGCTCACAGACTTTCAACAGTGATGAATGCAGACGAAATATTTGTACTCGATAAAGGGAAAGTGGTTGAGCGAGGAACACACAAGACTTTAATTGCCAATCGAAATAGCCTCTATTTTAAACTTTGGCAGAAACAACACCAGCTGCCTCCACAATCTAGTCTTTAATTTATTCTGGTTATTTATTTCATTGTACATTGTTAAAACACTGTAAATTTAACTTTATAAAATTACCAGGGTATCCCAATATTCCCAATATAAATATTTATTTTAAAAATAATCATCATCAGCTATAATTCAACAAATTAAAAAAAAAATATTTATAATGAAAATAATAGTAATTTTTAAACAAAGTGACGAAAATGTTTAGTGACTTTTGTGTGTATAATTTAGATGACTGTTGTAGCAGTGTATGCATTTTAATTTTGTATATTGCTAAACACTAAATTTAACTTGATTTTGTCCCAGAAATGTATGCCTTTCTACACTAATGTTTTTCAATATTTTACTTAATATAGCAGCTATATTTTTAAATCAATTATTTAAAATATTTTAACATACATAATAGTTTAATATTATGTGTGATAGTAACTGTACTCAATACATTAAATTTTTTGTATACTTTATTACTATATAAATATTTTATTAATATAAAAAAAAGAGGCAAGACTGATTAAAAAGGTTCTGTTATTATTATAGTGTAATTAATCTTTTACTATTTATGACAGAATGTTGTACTAAATCTGCTTCAAAACTACCATTTTATACAAAATTAATTTTAATAGCTAAATTAACCTTTTCATGAATGTTATTGGTATCTTTTAGTTAAGTTTAGAAAATAGGGTTAAAAATAGGGTACTAAAAAAAGGTTTCATTTTTTTAATTAATTAATTGTACTGCATTAAAAAAATATTCTACATTTTTATGAAAATTCCAGTTAAGAGTAATTTTTCTTGCTTAAAATTGCTTCAGAATTCTACAAATTGTTGCTCAAAGAAAAAATTGCTGATTCAAAATACTAAACATCCAATTGAAAACCTGCCACTAAGTTATCAGAGGGTATGATCCTGCTTTTTTGTTGGAACATGGTGTTTATATTAGCAATTGTTATTTCCTTTCTAATTCGAGTAAGCCTAGCCCATCAAATATGACAAGATTTTGTTTCCTACTTGGATGATGGGGACGAAACCATGCTGAACATAAACAAGCTAATTACGCAACTAAGTTGCGAGATACACTAAATCAAAATAATCACGGTTACATTGGAATACATAAACAAATTATAAATCTAGATTGAATATAAGATGTCGACAAAAAAGATTTATATTTTAACGAATTCCATATCCAATACAGCATACTAAATTTTTTCATCTTATTCAAACCTTTACGAAACATTTCTTGTGACATAACTGTGAAATATTAGCATTTAATAAAGTTGAATTAATCGCTTTTGCTGCATTAAAAACTAACTTTGTTTCTAATTATGATTCTGGGTAGCATAAGATCATTCCATTCAAACATCTTATTCAGAACTGCACCTAACAACCAGTCGCATCTCTTAATTTCTTTTTCTATCAATAACTTTGTTTAATCTATTATTTAGCGATTGATCTTATAACAGGGACTTTTGCTCAAATTCACGAAGTCAATCCATCATTAATTTAACGGAAATTTGAATTTACCTTAAAAATATCTATTGCTTATATATGTCTTCCATTGTTTGAGCAGGAGAAAATTACACATTTAATTTAAATTCTCAAAAAGGAGCAATTTTAAAAAGAACATTTTTTTTAATTAACACATTGTGCTTTTCGACCTATGAAATAAGAATTTTTAGTATTCCAATTGTACTTTTAGTGATCAAACTTCAATTAGCATTCATTACTTATTGTTATATCATTAAAAAAAAAAAAGGCATGTCATTGTTTGTGATGATCGTAAATTATAACACCAATTTATACTGTTATCATTTTTGTTGTTTTTTAATTGTTGAGAAAATAAAAATGAATTAAAATTGTTATTACATTTATTTATATGTTTAAAAGCTGTACACATTTCACATTGAGGATATTAATATTTATCACATATTTAAGAAATATATCTTTATAACTGGGTATGTATTTATTTAGAAATGTAATAAAACCCTACAAATTAAAATATGATCCTAGAGCAGAAAATTACAAGTTTTAAAAGAAATAAAATTTTTATAAATCTTTAATATACACAAATGTATATCTTGTTTAAAATTTTATTTTGTAACATAAACATACCCACTCACACATACATGTAGATAGACTGAGGTGACAAATATATAGTGTGGCAGCTGTCTGCGATAAAACTCTCTAGCACTAATATTTTTCTGCAAGATACTTTTAATAATAACAAATGTATGTGTTACTAATTTAAAATAACAAAATCTATTTTTTAATTGAACGTGCAATAATTTATTATTCTAATATTATGGGTGATATTCTTGCATTTTGTTGGGGGGGGGGGGTTGCAATAGCTGCCAAAAAATCGATAGAATCATTGCTTCAAAAATTAAATACTCAAATGTCAATTAGTTTTCCATATTGTTTGAAATATATCGAGATATTTAAAAACCACATGAATATCAATAACTGCGCCCAAAATACAATCGATTTCCGATACTATCCGAGTAAATTGAGCACGTCAAAAGTGTTTATCTAAATATATAATTCAAATTTTACGCATAAATTTCTGTAGAAAAGAAAAATTTGTATTTATCAAAAGAAAAAAATTTCTGGTAGTGCACTAGCAGGACTTTTATTTGAGTTCAAGTTATTTATCTGAGAATGTTTTTGGTGTAATTATGACCACAGGACAATATGAAATGGTGGTTTAAATTCCATTTCGGAAATTGTAAGGGAATTCAACATTCCTAGATCTAGTGTCAAGAGTGTGCCGAAATTTCAAGCATAAGTTATCACTAGAGCCCGGATTTTGATGACCTAAAAAATCTCAACTAATGCCCTTAAAAAGTGCAAAAAATGCCCTTAAAAATTCAAAAATTGCCTTAGATAAAGTAAAAATATTGAATTAAAAAAATGTTTTGCTCTTTAAAATTATTATGAGTCATTTAAAAAATATAAAGCAATGCAATACTTGTTCTAAGTTCATTAAAGTTTGAAAAATTTGTTTTATATCCTAAAATAACAAAAAAAGGAAAATATATTGACACCAAAATATTTTTATTTTGTATAGAAGCTTTAATGGATATAACAACTTCCATCTCATAATATTACTAAATATTAGAATTACATTGGATTATTAAATGTTTTTTGATAATTTGAAATGTAAACGAGCGTCTCTTGTCTGAAAGTAAATTTTCATTCCTGCAGAAGCTTCTTTCAACGTCTACTGATGTTATAGGTGCGTACTTGAAAAAGACGGTCTCACTGACAATTCTTCTTCAATTTGAAAAGATTTTGCTTCACCTGTTAATATTCTGTAGATTTTCTTTATTGTTTGGAAGCCAGTGTAATAATGAAAATTGATTAAAAAAAATAATAAAAATTGGAAAAAATTAACAAAAAACTTTAAAAAATGCAAAATACGCCCCAAAATTTAAAGAAAAATGCCTTATAAATCTAAAAAAATGCTTAAAAGACAAAAAAAGGTCCAAAAATGCAAATGCCATAAAAATCCGGGCCTTAGTTATCACCATGGAAAACATGTAGTGACCCACAAGCTACACTTAATAACTGAGAACGCCAACTAGTTCGGAGAATTGTCAGTGTTAACATAGCATGTGATAACGGCAAGCATTCAATGCTGGATGTGCCCAGCAGGACAGTGATGCAAAATCTAGCTGCAATGGAACCTGGCAGCAGAAGACTGACTAGAGTACATTTAATAATAGCACGACCAACACCCCTGCTGAACCCTATTAGTGAAACTCTTGTTTGGTCAGTTGAGTCACGATTTCATCTAATCAGAGATGATAACGGTTTGAGTGCAGCACAGATCCCACTGTAACGTAACGAACCTATTTTTAGCAAAACAGAGATCAGAACAGATTTTCTTTAAAAAATGTCTCCAGCTTTAGTTAGATATCTTGATCAAGTTAAGCACGTTCTGTGATTTTTTTTCCCTCTTCTGACTTTTTTTTTTTTAATTGTTTTTTTATTCCCTTTATAAGAATTTGTTTTGAAATAAAGTCTTAGAACTCGTTTCGTATTTTCTGTTAGCTGTGGCACCACACCATGAATCCAAGCGGTTAACAAGCAGTCTGGTAATGGCTCCTTAATGGTGTGGTCTAGTTTTTCATAGCATGGGTCCTATAGAATTGCACCGATTATTGATTGGAAATTATTATGTTTAGCTACTTTAACTTAGATACCACTTTGTGACACAAAGTGAAAAATTCTGAAAATTTTATGTGCAAAAAAATCAATATCAATTTATATAGCATACATGTTTCACATTTAAATATAATTTTGTGAACATTTATAACTAAATTACTTATTAATAAAAAACAATCATACCTTTATACTAATCAATTCAAGAAAAAATTCTCGTCTTACAAGAACCAAGACATTGAATTTTAAATTAGAGTGAATGTCAATCGCGATATTAGATTTTAAAAATGTGAATATGAATCGTGATATTGGATTCTAAAAAGCGGAAATACAGATTACAATATTGAATTATTAAATAGCGTAAATACGAATCAGGATGCATTAATTATAAATCACGTGAATACAAATCGCAATGAGCAGTTTTTTATATCGCTTAGAAATACGTAAAATCGATGTTTGACATTACAACCACGTGAATAGAAATCGTAAAATTAGGTTTTAAGCGCATGAATATGAAGAGCAATATTGGGTTTTAAAAACACAATGTTACCAATTCTTCGGATCCAGTACAAAGTAGTCACCACGTAAAGTTCTCTATTATCAAAGAATTAGTAACATTGCTCAGAGAACAAAAGGTATTCCTACATAGAATCGAGTTAATATGTCTTATATACTAGTGAATTGGATTTATATATTTTTGTAGAGGTAGATACACTACAGTACTCCCCCTCCAGAATTATATGCGATAGAATTCGATGAATGGATATCATTAGTTGATTCATTTTTGAGCTGTATTAAGTTCGCGCTCGCTCCTGTGTTGCCTTCAGCAGTCGCGTGAATACGTTGTGTGTGATCGAGACTGAGTAGCAACAGCGTGAGGAGGTGGATAATGTCGCAGTCACAAGACAACTGTTCAATGTGGACAATCCATCGATGTAGACTTGTTCAAATCAAAGTGGGAGTTTCTGTCAAGGTAAGCATTTCCCCATCACATCCCTATAAAAAGGCACCCTTACATCGAATCGAGTTCATGTCTTATATACTAGTGAATTGGATTATATTTTTTTGTAGTGGTAGATACACTACAAATGCTACCAATTCTTCGAATCCAGTACAAAGCAGCCACCATGTGAAGGTTGTCAATGATCGAAGAATTAGTAGCATTGCTGAGACACGAGCAAATGGTCCAATGATTAAAGTTGATAGCCTGTCCTACAGAGAGCAGTCAGAAATACCCATTAGGCGAAGGTGATTCTGAAGATAGTCATGTCCATTAATAATTATGAAATTAGCAGAGAAAATATGTTAGGGGTGGAATAGAGAGTAAGGCTGAACCATAAAGCTTGAGCTCCTTTGAAAGTGGTCAAAATTTTTTATGATGATAAATATTATCTATAGTGATACCACTTGTAGCGGTCAGAAAGCAATTCACGTAATAAATTCTAGCAAAGATTCGAATGTTACAGTTATTGGAATAAATTTTGGTTGTAATTTAATGATCTATATACAAAACAGTTTTAGTTGTTGTTGTGGGCAAGGGGTGCTATCTGTGACCAAGAATTCGACTTCTGCCACACCCGTTTACAGGGCAGAGCCATTCATTCATTCACAGATTGTTATTTTGACCTGAACCAGAGAACGACCAGTCTCCAATTTAGTACCCCTAGAGTTACAGTTTGTTATGGAAGCATGGAGGACCGGACAGATTTAACATGCACCATTCACAACACAGGGAGTCTTCAGCAAGCTGGTTTTGAACTCCTGTTCTCATGAACTTGAGTCTAGTGTCCTGCCAACCAAGCTATCCTGGGCAATAGAGTTAGTAAAAGCATAATAAAAACAAAAGAATAACAAGGAACGAAATAAAACTTGCGTACTTGTTTTATTATGAGACTTAATAACAATAATTCAAGAGCCATTAGGCATATGAAAATGAGGTTAGTATGAAGTTTTACAAATATAAACAAGTTTTTGTCTTTCTTTAATTTTTCCCAAATAGTCCTCTACTAGAGCAGAAAATAAAAATTAAAGAGCAATTCAAAACCTTTTTTTTTAAATATGAAATTGAAAATGCATGAAGGTATACTAAAAAAATGGCTCACTATCTATAAAGATCTATATACAGTACATATTAGATCATCACCGATATTTACGACCACTATCACATGCAGTTTTTAAGAGTGAAAAAATTCAAAATAAATAACAAAAAATATAATAATTAAATTAATAAACAATAATTTTAAACTTATAGAACTTCAGGATAGCCACTCTCCAGAGAAAACAAAGTTCACTAAAAATTTCATTAATAGGAACATGATAAATTATATCATCTGCTTCTCATTATTTATTAATTTATGATCAATTAGTTTTAAAAAAAACCTTGAAAAATTTTATTTTCATACAAATTTTACTTTAATAGACTTGTCTAGTTATTTCATGAAATACTTTATAGGAATTTTCCAAGTTTTTGTAAAAAATTTTAACTTAATATTTAATTAATAATGTTAATTGAAAATTTACATTAATTTTATTACAGGCTTCAGATGGATAACAAGCATTTCAGATAGAATCAAAATGTTTATTAACCTTATATCTTAAGATATAGATAAATTAATATTTTTTAAATTTAAAATTAGTCATTGGATTGCATATGACGAACAAAATTTCTAAATGCTGACATTCAGAAATCTAAAGAAATTTTCCAGAGGATTGCTAGTTCCTAGAATGAGTGGTTACCATGAATTTCAAATGTGTTTTAGGTACAAATAAAAATAATCTATGTAGTGTATCTACCACTACAAAAATATAAGCCCAATTCACTAGCATATAAGAAATTTTAAATCGATTCCATGGTGGGACACCTTTTCATAGATAAAGGTTGACATTGTCGTTGTCTACGCTCCCCAGATTGGTGACCCGGATGTGATTGCAGGAAGTGGGCGTTTCTGTCAAGTTGGGCGCGTTGACCTCACAACCGGGTCACCAATGTGGGGAGAGTAGATATCGGTGTCAAGATTCATCTATGAAAAGGTACTCTATCATGGAATTGAGTTAACATGTCTTATATACTAGAGAATTGGAATTATATTTTTGTAGTGGTAGATACAAAATTTATCCAATAAAATTTGTGTGATTAAATAGACATAGCTGCCAACATGGACAGGAAAAAAATCCAGTCGATTTTACGAAATAAATCCCATGATAACTGTTGCATGATATACTAAATATTTTACATATAGAGGACTTTAGGTTTTTTTTATTGCTATCAGAATACAATTCAACTTTATCCCTCTAATAACTATATAAATGGTCTAAAATATTTTCCGTTTATGATCCACATTAAATGATATAAATGTTCTAGAAAACTTGCTCAATTTAGGGAATTTTCAAAAATGTACAAAAACCAGGTGAATTTTTATCAAACCAGTAGAAAGTGGCAAAACCCAATAGTCTGCAGGTAAATCAAGTACAGTTGGCAGCTATGAATAGATAAATTCAAATAACATACAGAATGTTGCAATTTAAAAATGAGTTAATAAGTATGATGTGAACTGCACTTATTGAAATAGGAAGAAAAAAAAAAGAAGTTACAATTAATTGTGTGATTAAAGGGAATTTTATAAATAGAAAACAGAAAGAAACAATTTATCATTTGTACAAATTTATAACAAATAAAACAGTAGTGAAAAGAGTGCAACTCAACCCCTACTGTATATAAAATTCATTAAATTTTACAATCCATTTTATAAGAAAAAAATATATTCAGAAAAATGCAATATGTTTATTCAAACAAAAATAGTACATAGAAGATATACCTTATGATTGTATTACTTTCATTTATTTATTATTATCTTTTTAATAAATGTGTTATACAGCTAGTAAGAACTACAAGTGGTTTTAGTAATTTGCACAAATTCCTTGATTAAAACACAAAAAATTAATATAATTTATTGAATGAATTGATTTTGCGTTGGTTTTTAAGCAATAAAATAAGCATTTGACTATGTATTTTTTTCAATAGAATCTGTTGCCATGTTTTCAATTCAAAAGTTATTGATAAATCAATAATAAACACACCCATCTATTACTTGAATAGACAAATACATATTACAGTAAGATTTGGTTAATATTTCAAAACATTAAATTTATTACAGAAAAGATTTTTAGTCATCAGTTTTAACAGTCATCAGTTTTAACTTTTAAATATACATATTAGAAATTTTTTTTAAAAAACATGAATTAATTATTAATTTTATCTTTATTCTTATCCTAAGTCTGACTTAAGAACGCACAGGAAAAGAAGTAAACAAACAAAATAAGAAGAAATATCGGATAATAAAACCCACATACTTCAAGGGGCATCTTCATTATCCACATAATTTTATAGAATTACAAGGTCCCTAATCCTTTTCATTAATTTTAGATGACTGATATATATATAATATCAGAAAAAGAGAGAAATGTTTCTGGAATATGTTATAATTATGGTTTACCTAATACAGCTTTAAACTATTCTTTTTTTAAAAGCGGAGACTAGTTTGCAATGCCAAAAAGCATTAAATCCAAAGTTCAACAGTTGAAATATTAACAGTTGTTCTTTACGGCAAAAGCAAGTGTAGCATTTACATAAAATGATAATCCAAATTTTTAGAAGACGCTACACTGATTTCAGTCAATAAGTCAACTATCAAGCAAAAAAACAGAGCACAGAATTTTAACCCATTGAGTAGCTAAATAAACTGGCTGCATGAATATACTTCAGAAAACTCAGTAGGCTAAGAAAACATTCAATCCACAATCAAATTGCATATTTCTTCACAACAAAATGCACAAAAATTCACAAATACCTTCATAAGAAAGTACAGTTGAATTTATACTAATTCAATTTTTACACAGAAAGACTTAATTTTTGTTAAAGAGTTACAGATTTGACAGTTTGAATTTTACGTTAAAAAAACTCTTTCTATGTAATACAATACAGGCAAATTTACATGCCTCACAAGTTCAAAAATATTTTTCTAACTACTGAATTTCAATAATTAGGTTGGTAAGGAAATTTTTTTAGTGCGAAGTAATTTTTTCTATACAAAAAAGGAATTTTAATGAGTCAAATATTATTCATTCTGTTCAATGACTTTTGGCCATTTTTCTAATAACTTCATGATCCCAAAAATTTTAACAGGGTGGATAGCCAAATATTTTAACAAACAATAAGCACCTTTAAAGTACTTTTTAAGCACTATATACGTTAAGACTTTAACATGATCATCACAAAATCACTAGTTTCTGACAAAGAGCTCCTATTTTAATTATAATAGGCACCACAAAAAGATCAAGAATTTTTGGTTTGATTTCAGAGGGTGGAAAATGAAGCCTGAAAATGATAATATCTTGAAAAATGCAGCAGTGTTGCACATCAGAGTACAAGAATTCTTCCTACTAATCTAGCTCAGTAAAAGGACATGCGGACCCGCAAGTATTTCACCAAACATGTAAAGTTATTGGTGCTTTCATACACTATGCAACGAAACGGATTGAGTTTGAATGAATTGTGACAACAATGAATAGAGCAATGTGAAAACCACGCCTTCGCATATTACTTGGGGAAAATTGACAGGTAAATAAAAAATATCATTTCTGAAAAAGGGAAATTAAGCACTTTTTAAAAACACAAAATAAAAAAAGCACATTTAAGGGCTTTTAAAAAACAAAGATAAAAAATAAGCACCTTTTAAAAAAGTTAAACACCATGTATAGGGTTTAGAGCAAAAATTTGGTCTCATCTTTAAAAATGTATTCTAAAATGTACACAAATCAGGAGAATTTTAATTAACCCAGTAGACCAGGAGAAACCGGCAAAATCCAGTAGAGTGATTTGTTCATAAATGAGAGCCGGATCATAAAGTTACCAAAAATATATTTGACTCTTCATCTTTTGTATAGAAAAAATTCTGTTTAAATTCAGATTAAAAAAGAAAATATTACTTCCTTGTCAACCCAATAGTAAACTAAAATTATGATTGTATACAAGATTGCAGCATACTAATTCCTAAATTTTTATAGGAACAGTCTAAGTACCACCACAAAAAGTTTGCAATGTCCAAAACAAAAGCAAAAATAAAAGAAATGGTTATAAAATGAAATATGATTTATCTTGATTTATAAAATACTGATTGAAATAAAACATTCAGTTCTTTTAAAATTCTTCCATCTAATACAGAAATGCTTTAAAAATGCAAAAGAAAATTTTTATGATTAACAATCATTGATGAGAGGAAATGAAAAAAAAAATTAATTGAAACAAAATATACACTAGAGATACATACGAAGCAACAACTTAGCGCATTCTATAAACAAAAGTTTCATTCAAGTCACTCAATTCTCCCTTAAAATCAATTTCAATACTGAAGTCCAAATCTCTCTAAAAGAAAAAAAGAATTTTTTTTTTCAATACATTAAAAAAATATGACATTTGAAGATCAAAAGGGGAAGAAAAACATTTATTCAAAAAAATGACGATTAGTGCTGTCGCATTTTGGAAATAAAATCAAAAACGTATGGATAAACGAATCCTTAAACACTATGATCTTCAACTGGGTTAATAAAAACAATTACCCATAAAAGATATACAACAAATGAGTAGATAGGAGGAAACATAAGAAACAAGATATTAGAGCACAAAATTAATTATTGTATGTATCATAAAGATATTTTTCTGACCCATGTGGCAGTAGCGACAAACTTCTCTAGTACTAGTATCTTTCTGCAAGATACTTTTAATAATAATAAATACATATGTTACTAATTTAAAGTTGCAAACAAAAGCGTTGTGTTTACAAAAAAAAACCTATTTTGATAAAAAAAAATTATTCAAATTTTTTTAATAGAATATGCAATATTTGTTTTATTCCAATACTATAGACAACATTCTTTGTAGGAGAAAAATGCACTAAATATTTCCTTTTTTGCATTTTGACAAATTATCATCATCACATTAAAAAAAAAAGATTAATTAAAAATCGAGAAATCCGTTGCAGTAACTATTGAATAAAAGATTGATGACAAAATCATGCAAATTGGACTTTTTAATATGGGGTACTCAAATGTGTGCTTCGTTTCGAGATTCAGTTATTGTGATAAACATCACATTAAGAATATACAATTTTAAAAACCACACGAAAATCTATATCAATAACTGTTAAGATACAATTATAGCACTATGGATTCACCAAACCAAAATTTGTAAGACTTATGGAAAATCCTAGCGACAATGTCACCGCGATTTTGCCACGGGGTTTCTGACAGAAGAATCAAATGATAGAAATGTTGAAACTTACTTTGTTCTTTTCATTGGGACACATTTTAAACATTCCATAAACTTCTTCTCCTTTCCTAACAGTCAGATAATCATCAAAATAGAAGACAGTCTGCTTCCAATGGGTATAGGGAGCTTCGGGTGCTGTAACATTCCATTAGTGTTAATTTCGTTCTATATTACAGAACATTCAAAATAAAATTCAATAAAAACCCTCTTAGATAGGAGGGTTTCTGATCTAATCACAAATTCGAAAAAGAAAAAAAACATCACTTACAAAAACTTAAGAGGTTGCCATAATTTAAAAGAAAGAATTCAAGCAAACCTAGAGTTTGTCATAAAGTTTCAATTGCTGGAAAAAATATTTCAAAATATTAAAATACAAATAAATTATTAGGAGAGAACTTCTCCAGTGCGTAATCCAGTTATCATCTCATAACTTATTTTCATTTGTATAGATTAAAATTTTCTTTTCAGCATTTGAAACTCTAGGTTTGTCAGAATTCACATTTTGTACACTTGAAATTTTATTTAAATGGTGGTTTACTTCAGTTATGCATAGCAGGTAAGTATAATGACGAGTGAAATTAAAATTCGAAATAACACTGAAGTCTTGCATTTCAAGTTTTGTCTTACTAAAATTTCTTAAGATAAATATAATTTGAACCCGCACTATATGACTATTTAAAACACTTTCTCAAACTTCCTAATTTTTTTAAATTAGGTAGCAAAAAAAGTTAGATCGGAACTATGAAAAATATTCATACTATCATAAATGATAAGAAAAGTGAATTTAAATGGAGTAATTCTTGGATACCTATAGTTCATAACAATATAATTAATTATAGCTTAAAAGAATGATACATACCCGTAGAAAAGCCAGTTCGTTTATGACACTTGGTGAACTCTACATTGAAAAATGTGACAAAGGCTTGTATGTAATCATCCCTTTTTACTTGCAAATGAAAAGGACTAGCGAATTTCAAATCTGAAGTTTTAACAGTATACAAGTCAACTTCCTAAAAACAAATAAAATATCATAAACCAATAGAGATTTATATTTTGCATAATCAGTTATAAAATTAATTTTAAATCTTCATAGGTCCATAAAAGATTTTATGAAATACTGGTTGCACAACCGGTTTAAGTTTTTTTTTCTTCCTGTTGGTGGCTTTATGTTATTAGAATAATCAAAATATGTATTTAGTAGTTTACTAAGGGAGCATTAATTTTTCTACATAGCTTATAGTTTTATTTTAATTAGCACCTATTATCAAAATCAATTAACTTATTGCATAAATTTTTAATACAAATTTCAAATTAAACTCTTTAAAAAGGTAATAAATATATATACATACCGTATATTCCGGAGTATAATGCACACTTTTAATACAAAAAATAACATTGGAATTTACGGGTGCACGGTATACGCCGAAAGTAAAAAATTATAGATTAAAAAAATTTAAATATAGAAAAATACTTTTATTTTAAATAAATAACATACCTTTACCTATATACTTTATTGATTTTCGTTATTACATAAATAGTTCATTATCTCAGAATCACATTATTACTCTTTCAACTCTACCCTCACATACATGTCAAATTCAGTTCTTTTATTTTTGCAAAAGATAGGGAAAAAAACTTTTTATTTACGATCTTGAAAGACGAGATATTGCACATGTACAATCCAAATTTTCGTGAGCATTATACGAAGAGTATATCTTAAAATTTAAAAAAAGTATTAGAAATTACGGGTGCGCGTTATACGCCGGAATATACGGTATACCCTAAGCTTATAATCTGATATCTTCAATATTATTTCTTAGTTGAAGTACCTTATAAAAAAGTATTTCAGGCAATAGTATTTATAAAGTATTTTCATGATGTACTTACTTTTAACAAGCAGACATTTGTTACAACTTGTTTAGGATCAACAACATCAACAAGTGGCTCTGAAATAGCAACCTTCCTTATACAGCTCATATTAAATCCATAAACGCTGTCCCACCCTAGAAATAAGAATTAAAAATAATCATTAAGAGCACAAAAAATACATGGCCTACCAATACACTGAAAAAACACTTGTTGCTTTAAAATAATCTAACAAAGGATGGTAAAGCCCTTAAATTTTTTTCCCCTTACAGATGAAATAAAAAAATTTGAATGACAAGAGCAGTTTTTTTTTTTTTTAAAGAAAACTTTTAGCAAAAATATGAATATTGTCAGGTAGTTTAAAAATTTATCAGTCAAAAATGTTTAAACTAAGAATAGTGTTATGTTAGTGACAAAATATTAATAAAGCAAAATCACATCACTATGAAACATAACCATGCAACATACTATCAACTTATTTAGTGGTGTTATCGTACTGAATGTACTTACAGTTGATTTTCTCATCTTTATATTGCCTATCTTCAATGGCACATAGAAATAAAGTTGCCCTATCAGGAAACATCATTCCATCAGGTTTCTAAAAACATAAAACTATTAGTTTCAGAATTAATATAGATACATATAGATTATTCGTATAGATAATCTTAGCTGAGACCTATTTTTAAATATACATTGGTTCATATTGAGAAATTCTATAGAAGGCAAAAATTGAAAAATATCTTCAATCTATACATTTAAATCCAACTGAATGTTTCGGGACAAATAGAGATCCATGATCAATTGAAGAAGGAATTATTGTTACATTTGAATTATTGTTATTTAAAAAAAAAATTCCTTTTGAAAGAATTGAATAAAAGAATCCCGCTAAAAAGTAACACTAAAACTTACCAGCCATTTATCGCGAGCATAGAGTACTGTATCTAGCATTGATTCATAAAATAAACAATAACCCATCCACTCAGAAATGATGATGTCAACTTTTTCAGCGGGTATTTCAACGTCTTCTACTTTCCCTTTCACAATAGTAATAACTAGAAAATAAAATAAATTTAAAATTCATATTTATTTATCCATTTAGCAAGCAAAATATTGTTATCCTCAATATTAAAAATAATAATAAAATTAAAAATACTTTTACAAGAAATTTGGGTCCGTTAATTATTGTTTTGTTAATTGAATAAAGCCTCCCCGAGAAAGATAGTTCGAGACAAACTAAGTTTCCCTAAGTTTAATTTCCAAATGTAGTAAGTTTAAATTCCAAATGTAGTATTCTAAGAAAATATTTCTACTTTTACAAACATTGTGTGTGCATTCTTATTAATATTAAATCTTTTTTTGTTTTGTAAATAAATAAGTAAAATTAATTAATAGAATATTGTGTAAATAAAAATTTCTGGCAATTTTTTAAATAAAATATTATAAATTTTAGAATTGTTTAGGAACTGCATAATACTTAACACATCAAAAGTGATACATTACTAAGTCGTGTTATTTAAAATATGTCAATTGTAGTTATTAAAAATGTGAGAGCAGTATAGGCTAAAAACCAAATATTTGTATGTTGCATCTCTAATTTAGTAGCATCAATTGTTGAGCAGAATCTTGTATCTATTTACAATTTAAAAACTTCTTGTAAAGGTTTTTTTAGCAATTTTTGCAATAACAGGACCCAATTTGCACAAATTCACAAAAGCCGGACCCTGATTGAAAGAATGTGACTTAACGCTTATTTCATATTCACAAATTATGAATAGTTTTTTTCACAATTTTACAAAAACAGGACCTTTCACAAAATGTCTGGACAGACCCCTGATCATAAACAATTGAAATACTAACCTTGTAACAGTTGATATATCCTAAATTTAATTTTCAGGTAGAAAATATGTATTTTTTTTTTACAAGATTTCTTTTCTAAAATCAATGGTTCTTTGGAGAATTTTTTTTTTTAAATATGTAAACAAATAAAAAAATTTTTTTACAAAAACAGGTTTTTTCTTTACAGAAGACTTAAAAAAAACTTACCGTTGTCTAACCCATTTTCTTTGGTTATCTTTTCAGCATGTTCTACAATTCCGGAGCATTCAATCTAAAGTAATTACAAATGTATGCTTCATACGAATAAATTACAATACTACAAAAAGGGTTCGTTGATTTAAATCAGCTTGATTTAAATCACGATTTAAATCAAATGATTTTTTTAAAAAAATCATTGATTTAAATCAACTAATTTTTTTTATCTATATATATTGATTTCAAAAGTTAAAAAACAGTGTTTTAAATTTTTGATACTTTTATTATTTTCTTTTCTTAGTATTAAAATTTAATTTAAATAAATTGCTGCATTAATTAATTTTAGTTAACAAAATTACTTTCTTGGTGTGTGTTAAATTCCAACACATTTGAAATTACATTTTTAAAAATCTTTTGATTCTTGAGATTGAAAGTACAGATTAAAGTAAACATTTAATGCTGTCTTAATATAGACTTGCATAGCTGTAGAAAGTAATTAATAAACATGAATTTTTTTCAAAAAATAATACAAATAATGTTAATTAAAATTCTACCTTTTGAATGAAAAAGCGTGAATTAAAATCTACATCATATTTTATTGGTGGAAAATGTATATTTCTGAAGCTTGAGGTTATATTAAAAAGAAATTACCCTAATATGCCAAAAACAGAAAAAGAAAAAAAAAGGGCTGATGAATTCAGATGTTTTTTTCCTAATATAGTGTCATTCTTCCCTTTCAAACTCTTTCAAAGTCTATTTGATGCAGTAGGGTTATTAACTGGTATTTTTTTCTCATAATATGTTTACAGTATCTTTGACATTATCTGATTTTCTATAAAGAAATTTTGTGAAAAAAAATTCCAATGAGTACATAGATTTTCTAATTTTTTTTTAGCTTAACTTATCTATTTTGATATAGAATTAAAAGTGAATATTTTAATATAAAAATATATAGATTAAATATTTATTTATTTTTTGATGAATAACTCAGATGTTTTTTAACATTTATAAACACAGTCTGCTACATTTATTTTGTCATTTTAAAAATCAAGAGAAAAAAAAAAAAAATCACAATTTTAAATTAAAGTTATGGTTTGCTAACTGAAACTTTGCTTTAATAGTTAAAGCACAGGGGTCTGTCCAAGCCGGTACCTTTACAAATTCAACTTTAGGAAAAATGATAGAATAGTCACACAAAATACTTTTTCTTAAAATTTAATTTTTGTGTCTCGTAAGAAACAATAAATCCATATTTTTCCTATATTTGTGTTGATCTTTTAATTTATATTTAAATTTTCACAAAATAGGTACCTCTCAGAAAAACCAAAACAGACCCCTGAAATATTCTTTAAATTCTCTATTTCATCTAGTCTTTTAAATTTTAATCAAGCATTTTTTTCAAAATGGCTGCTATGCATTCAAAGCCATGTATTATAATACAAAATTATTTTAGTTAGAGCTTCTAAAGTATTGTTACAATATAGTTTTAATATTAAATTAATTTGATTAAACATTTTTAATTTTTTTTAATCATAAATTAAAGTTCATACAGTGTATTTGAATAAAAATCAAAAAATTCTGATTTAAATAAAAAAAATCTGATTCTTTTGATTTTTTTTAAAAAAAATCAAAAAAATCACGAACCCTGACTACAAACGTATTTATAAATATGCCTAACATTTAAATATATGTCACTAGCTATAACAAATGATTAATTATTGGAGAAAAAAAATTTACCACAGGATATTAAGAAAAAACAATTTTTACAAAATTAAAAAAAATTATGAGTCCTGCCTTTCCATTGACAAAATTTATCCAACATTAAATTTCCGTTGAAAAATTATAAATTATTATAATTATATGTTATAATTTCAAATTTTCTTGTCACTTTATCCACATGTAGTCTTATTTTTACTCAGTCTATTTTGGATACCAAACAATTTACACACATAACCCAAACTTTTTAAAAATAAAATAATTTTTTTTTAAAAATAAAAGCACAACCAAAAGAATGAATTTATTAATTATACTATATAAAAAGTACGGACTTTAAATAATGATTTTTATGAGAAAAATAAAGTGCTTTAAATCCATGTGATGCCAACACTGATCCCTCTGAATTACTTTAAAAAGTACATAGGTAATATTTAAAATTAAAACAATTTATTCAAAAATCTGCTCGATACACACACACCTGAAATCCAACTGCATTTTTTTTATTTTTAAATTCAAGGTATTTGCTACTTTTTAGATTTTCAAATTCATCACTTTTCATGATTAATTCCGAGAATTTTTCATGACTTAACGAAGTTACTATTTTCTCCAACAAACATAATTTAAAACAGCATTATAATAACATTCATTGAAATGATAGATATAACCAAAACTGCTATACTCTGCATCCTCATATTTATAGATTTTAAATTCAAAAAACAGTAAAGAAAGAGTTAAAGTAATAAAATAGCTGAAAAAAATACAAAAGCAAATAATTTTTTTTTCCTGTAGAATTACATTCTAAAGATACTTTCCTTGTTCATCGGAAAGGAAAGAAATACTGCCAATGAAAGGCTTGCTTCAGCTAGAATTTTAAATTGATTAAATAAAAAAAAAATTATAACAAAAGTTGTGAAATCACAGAAGTTTAAAAGATAATTCGCTCCAGAAATGTTTTTTCTTTCATTTTATGAAAGAACACCTTTATTTTTAAAGAACATGATAAAAATATTTTACATCTTAATCAAATATGACTGTGGGTGGGGATCTTGTTACCAATTCAGATATTCGGAACACCATGAAATTGGGGAAAGGGGGTAAATTCCATTATAAAAATTATATTTTTCGGCTACCTATGTCCATGACTTTTCACGATTTTTTCAAAAAAATTGTTAAAATCATGACAAATTTTGTTTAATACTGAAATTAATGACTCTCCAGGTGCGCGGATACCCTATAAATTATTAACTTTAAAATTATGGACAACGGCTGTTTCAAAAAATATGAATTCACACTGAAGAAGAAATTTAATATTCCTGAAAATGGTTTTAACGAACTTTACAACCAAAAGAATTAACTTCTTTTTAAAAAAATCTTTACAATCTATGACCAAAAAAAAAAAAAAAAAAAAAAAAAAAAAAAAAAAAAAAAAAAAAAAANAAGAAAAAAAAAAAAAAATTTACCCCTATGACTTTAGTTGCTCCAGCCTTTGCAGCAAACATACACAGAATTCCTGTACCACATCCTATGTCCAAAACAGTTTTCCCACGAAACAAGTGTTTATTATGAAACATTGCATTTCTATAAGTCAAAGTTCGAACTTCATCCTTTAACATTTCCTGAAACATTTGAAGGAAAATTAACATGGAAACAAATTGTTAAAGAAATTTATACATCTATATATAATTGTATAAATTTAATATATACAGCGAAACCTCTAAGAAAGACCACCTCTATTTACAATCACTTTTAGGAGGCACAGAATTTTTACCTAGACAGGGTGCGTAGCCAAATCTTTCAATAAGCACCTTTAAAGTACTTTTTAAGCACTCAAAAAAAACATTGTTAAGCACTATATACATTAACAAAATTCAAAATAATTTTCAAAGATTTGTCATGGTCATGATAAAATAACTAGTTTCTGACAAGGAACTCTTTTCTTGATTATATTGGCCACCATAAAAAGTCCGAGAGATTTTTCGATTCGATTTCAGAGGGTGGAAAATGAAGCCTAAAATGGATAATATCTTGCAAAATGCAGCAGAGTTACACATGAGAGTGCAATAATCTCACCGAACTCAGCACAATAGACGCACATGTGGACTCGCAAGTATGTCATCTAACATGAAAAATGATTGGGGCTTTCATACGCTAACGACCGATAGTACAATGAAATAGATTTCAGTTGAATGAATTATGAAAAAGTTGAATAGAACAATATGAAAAGCTCGATTTGACATAATAAATGGCGACAATCGACATTACCTATTCGAAAATGTTATTTTTGAAAAGGGAAAAATCAAGTATTTTTTAAAAACACCTAATGAAAAAAAAAACACCTTTAAGGCTTTTAATAAACGAAAATCGAAAATAAGCACCTTTAAGCACAATGCTAGACTTGGTGTTGAAGAAAACCTTTGGGAGAGACCATTAAAACCACTCCCAGCGACTGAATAGAAACTGCACCAAATGTAGAAAATTTCAAACAAGTAGACAAGAAAAAATATTTTTAAAAAAATTTAACAAAACAAAATAAATTGAACCTTTTTTTCACGACACCAACTGAAGTGGCATTTCCGCACCAAGAAAATGAAACTGACTAAAAATAAAATCATTTGCAAAAAATTATGTACCTTTGATTACAATTTTAAAAGTCGATGGTTGAAACCTTTAAGAGTGACCAACCTCCATATTTTACCATGAAACAGAGAGTGGTCGCTCTCGAGAGGTTTCACTTTATTTAGATTTTAAATAAAAAGTAACACAATACAGAATTACAAAAGTTTTTAGTTAAAAGGTGGTTAGTTTTTAAGTACAAAAAAGCACAAAGCATCACAACTTCAAATTAAACTATAAGCTTAATGAAGATTTGTGAATTTTATGGTTAAAAGGGAGTAGTTTTTTGAAGAAAAAAATCAGTATGATGAAAAAATCAGTCCAGAATACATTATTGGACTATTTTGAATTTAAACCATCTTATGTACAATTTGTAACCAAAGACTAATTTTTATTAAGCTCAACAAGTATGATTTTTACATTAATATAACTGCAAAAAGCAGCAAATTGTTAATATTGATACTTTTTTTTGCGACAGTGTGCAGTCTAAGACATTTGAAAAAATAATAAATAAATAAAGTGGACATTAAGAATTGAAGTATAGGAACTAAAAAGCCAACCAAACACACGAACAAGAAGTTTTTCTTTCCCCCCGCCCTTTATTGCTGAACAAAGTAACGGCAAAAAGATCAAAACTATCATGATATATGCATTCAATGGAACTTTTATAAATGGGCAGAAATAACAGATTCCCTCAAAAACTGAGTAAAACCAACTTTGCACGCAATTACATTGTTTGTGTTTATGAAAATAACTGGTAGATTCCCTGATCACTTCAATGAAGAAGGTGACTTAACTGTTTTACCCCATCGCTCCACAGAATATATTGTTTCTATTTCTAATGACACTTGGACAAGTCAAGCTATTGCCCCTTTTCAATTTCAGTTAGGAATGTGCTTTTCGTATGACAAGAGAGCACCACAAGGGAGAAAGTATCTCTTATCTCAGAATCTCACAGATAGATGGCACCACCACTCAATTGTGATGTGAGGCCACTTTCTCAACTAAAACATAGATCTGAAGGACAAGGAAATTTTCTCCAGATCACTGCGTCCATGGTACCGTATAGCAACCGACTATAAGGTGTTCAATTACCACGGATTTTACTAGCATGTATATCACATGCTCTCGGTGAACCTTAGAGGAGTTGTGTATCAAATTCTAACCCCTTAGGACCGGAGCCCGGTTCTCTTATGGCTTCCCTTCTACAGCATGATTTATGTGCTGCAGAAGCTCTGCAGGTAACATTGAATATGTGATGCTCATACAAAGTTGATACAACATCTAAGAAAACAATTAATGAAAGCTAAAATACTTTTAAGGAGACAGTAACTGTAAGAATTTGTTTCAAATTATCATATTGATTAGAAATGAGATTCGAAAGTATTAGGGTACCCTTCCCATAAGCGGACAACTCTCGTAAACGGACAAATTTTACAGTCCCAAAAGTTGATTAAGAGCTACAGACTAGAGATATCCGACAGGCAGTATCTATCCGGTTATGGCCGGATATTATGATTATCCGGCAGTAACATTTGGCTCGAAATAAAATATTGAGTGGGAAGGTAAAAATGAAATATATATATCATAATTCATCACAATGATGGTAGAAAATGTAATTTTAACATAAAAATCAATATTCTTTTCAAATAATTTTTTTTTTATACTTATAGTGTTTATAAAATAAAGAAATTATACTTTAAATATGTATTAGGTTTTAGTTTTTATTTTGGTTAGCCTACAACAGCTATGTTATACTAGCCATTAATATAAATATTTTTAAAGCATGTTAGTAATTTGAAAGTTATGTAATATAATATAGTATGTAGTATATAAAAATATGTTATACAATTACAACAGAATATATTTACTATACGGATATACATATTTATTATATATTTAAAAATATAATAGCCAACCTCTTTGATTTTTAAAATAAAATGAAATTGGCAATCTTATCAAATAAAAACATATAAATATTAACTAATAAATAACTAATTTCATTAATTTTTTCAGTGTTTTCATCCCTGAAAAAAAGTGGGTGAGAATTTCTCACCCTTTCTCAAAAACAGGGTGAGATTTCAAAAAGTTAAGTGAGGTTCAAAAATTAAAAAAACAAAAACAAAAAGAGACTTGAAAAAAAAATTATTTCTTTAATTATAATGCGTTTTTAACATCTTCTAATTTTTAAAGCATTGAATATTTTTGCTGCATCATCATATGGAAAATGTTCTACATCTACTTTTTCATCAGTTATTCTCATTAGGTTGCTCAAATGCGTATTTGTTTCGTTTTAATCGTTTCTATCCACATTTGTTTCATTTTCATTTGTCCGTTTCGGAGTAGAAGATATTGACTTTACAAGGTATTTGTCCATCTTACATTAACGAGCAAAAAATTTGAACGTCTTACATGTCTTTGAACCTTACCAACGGTAAACACGTGGTTGCAGAGAAATGAGTTCTGAAAGAGGTTCCGTGGTTCGGAAGGATGGTGTTCTGTTGTTCTTAAAGGTTCTGAACAATACTGGTAAATAGGGAAGCTAGATAATGGGGCAAATGTTGAAAATAATAAAAGATCCAGGAAGAAAAGTGAAACAGATTTTATTCTAAATGGCGCAAATGAGAAATTTTCTTCAAAATGCGAGAAATTCGCGAATTTTGAAATTGGTTTATAGAATGCGCGAAATTCTCACGGTAATCATTTCTTAATGCGAGAATATAAAAAAAATATGCGAGATTCTCGCGCTGTAGTGAAAACACTGTTTTTTTTCTTCTAGTTTCACTTGATTTAAAAAATTGAGAAAAGATCTGAATGGTTGGCAGTTATATTAAAGACAAATATTAGAATAAAGTAATAATCGATCTGAGGTAATGTTTTATAAATACTTATTTTTAAAAAAGTACTGCGGCTAGATACCGGATGTTCGGCTCAAAGATTGGCCGGATATCCGGTATCCGGCCCAACTAAGATCCATTGCATCACTACTACAGACTGATAAAAGGAACATCGTACGCATAGATTGATTGAACAAAAACTTACCTCATGTATTCCAAAGTGTGCATAGGAATCGAAATAATAATCTTTGGAAGTCATTTCCTCAGGTCTGTAAGTGGTTAAGCCATCCATCTCTTTTTGGCACCTGAAGCAAAACTTTGCTTTGCCATCACACTTTTCTTCTTTATTATCAGTCAGTTCATTATTATCAGTCAGTTCATTATTATCAGTCAGTTCACCATTATCAGTCAGTTCACCATTAACTGTCACTTCTCCATTAGAGCTAGCTGTTGACACCTTTAAGAAGTAATTATATTACATAAATGTAAAATACAAAAGCATTATACATAATATATTTAATACTAACTGGTATTGTAATAGTTTAGTCATGAGAACTAACATTATGAGTTACAAGACTTTAAATTAATGATGTTCCGAAGACCAAAAAAATTTTGAACAGTGGGTTTTTCATTTAAAACCACTTTAAAAAAAAAAAAAAAAAAAAAATAGCGAATTACAAAAGAGCCATTGAAAATGACTGTGGACTAGGAATATCCTTTAGTCACTGGTCTATAGATTGGTGATTAAATTTTGCAAATTTTAACCATTAAAATAGTACATTGAGTACTATTGATGTACAATTAACTTCTATTGTACTAGCAACCTTTTTAAACAGATTTGCCAAAAAAGTTAGCATATTTTTTTAAATAATGTAAAATAATATTTCCTTTGTTGTTTGCTCTCTAGCTGTGTTATTTAGGACTTAAGAAGCTCTTAGTCTGTGTCTTGGAGATATTTCCCTGATTTAAAAAACAAATAAAAAAACATCTATAGGTTTGCTTGGGGTTGACTTCAAGTTACATGTTATATCCTTCAAATCGGACCACTTGTGCGATTTTCTAAAAAAAGTTTCTTCCAGGTTAGTCCTAAGACTTGGCGATTATTCTAGTTAGTACATTACCCTTTCTCTCATAATAACAGACTTATCTTTGATTTAATGAAATTTAGTTTAATGGAGTCACATGTCAACCATATAAATCCACCAATTTTAATTTGAAAATTGCAATTTTTATAGAAAAATTTTCCTAAAAATTGACAATTATGCAAACATATAAAGGGTAACCTTTTTCTGATAGATGATAAAAGAAAATATCAAACACTATTAACCATTTCAAAACTGAAGAATCAATCTTCCAATCTGAACCCTAATCTGACTTTATGACATTAACAGGGTTACCACAGAAAAAAAAAAGAAACAAAATTGTTGCTTTTAGCAGTCTAAAACATGAAAATAGTAGCCAAAAACTAGGAAATTAATTGCTTAAATAAGAAGAAAAATTCATCAAAAATATGACTAAAATTTTGTTAATGACTTAATTGTCATATACCATGATCCATTCAGTCAAGTTGGTGGCAAATACGATAATTTTTATATAAACGTAAATGTTTATATACCGTATATTCCGGCGCATAACGCGCACTTTTAATGCAAAAAATAACATTGGAATTTACGGGTGCGCGGTATACGCCGAATATAAAAAATTATAGATTAAAAAAATTTAAATTTAGAAAAATACTTTTATTTTAAAGAAATAACATACCTATATACTTTATTGATTTTCGTTATTACATAAATAGTGCATTATATTCGTCTTCCGTTATTTCTTCAGGCACGTCATCACAATCTGTTTCGTCTTCATCATCTGTGTTACCCTCATCCATGAATAAACAGTCATCTTCTGATCCGTCCAGATTATTTGAAATGCTGCATTTTTTAATGATTTTCTAACCATCTCAGGCTTAATTTCATCCCATGCTTTTAATATCCATTCGCACACTGTTTCCAAACTTGCATGACGCATATATCCTCCTTCCTTAAAGGTTTTTTTTCGCCCAATTGGCTTTAAAAGCAGAAGTCCAATTGCTGAACTATTGGTGTCAATCCGCCCGTAATAACTGCCACATCAGTGTTACATTCTTTCAACAATTTTTTTTGCATTATCTGTAAGGTGGGATCTAAACATGTCCCACACTAAAAGGCTTTCTTGTTTTCTATAGATACTAGACGAGATATTGCACATGTACAATCCAAATTTTCATGCGCGTTATACGAAGAGTATATCTTAAAATTTAAAAAAAGTTGTTAGAAATTACGGGTGCGCGTTATGCGCTGGAATATACGGTATATGAAAAGTCAGGGGTCTGTCTAGGTTTTTCTGAGAGGTACCTATTTTGTGAAAATTTAGACATAATATGTGAAAAATTAAAAATGATATTAAAAAACCAACACAAAAACATAGTAAAAATATAGATTTATCGTTTCTTAAGGATACAAAAATAAAATCTTAAGAAAAAGTACTTTGTGAAACTACCGTTTTTCCTAAAATTGAATTTGTGAAGGTACCGCTAAACGGTAGTAAATTCAACGTGGACAGACCCCTGAAAGTAATTACTCAAATTCAAAATTCGTGCATCATAATATCGTATTAATAATTATTTTTTTCTTTAAAAAAAAAAAAAGAGCAGAATTTCGTAGCAATAATTATTGAAAAGGCAATCGAGAAATGAAATAGACTTAAAATGGAGTCTGTGCAGATTGAACAAATTAAAAAGTGAAGACTCAAATTTGCAATTCAAAATTTTTTATTTTTTTTAAAAAAAAAAAGTTAAGTGTGTTCAGAAACTATCTTGTGGGGTGCCGGTTTTCCACCCAATTTACGCTTGAAAAAATAATAAAACATAATACAGAGTACAGAAAAGTCTCCGTTTCCAGAAAATAGTTGATTTTATTTTTTTAGCCTTTTCAGTCATAAAAAGCTGTCGTAGTCTCCTCATGCCAAAAATAGTTGCAATTAGTAGCATTTTAGTCGCCTGTGGCAACCCTGCATTAAGTCAAAGTTCCAAAGTGACCAGATTTGAGCTTAAACAACCTAAAATAAGTATCCAAAAACATACTTCCTTTTTGATGAACACATAGCTTTTTGAGGCTGTTATATTTGCTTCATTATTCTCTTATATTCAATAGAGTACAAGTAGGAATTTCAAAAGTTTTGTCAAAGTTTAAAAAGACATTATACAGTTACATTGTCAAATTTTTCAATTAGAATTTGTACCACTACTGAAACTGCAACACTTAACTTATGATTTAGATATTACAAACAAAGAAAATAAAAAAAATAAACCACTTACCTCCATAGTTTCAGACATCTTAAATCTAGAATTAAAATTCCATTATTTAATAATTAGAACACTTTCAAAGTCACAAATAAGCAGAAAAATAATTTGAAAAAGTAACTTTTTTCTTATCTACGTATTCAGGGGTCTGTCCAGGCCGAATTTACTACCGTTTAGCGGTACCTTCACAAATTCAACTTAAGGAAAAACGATAGTTTCACAAATTCAATTTTAGGAAAAACAGTAGCTTCACAAAATACTTTTTCTTAAAATTTCATTTTTGTATCCCTTAAGAAACGATAAATCCATATTTTTGTGTTGATTTTTTAATATAATTTTTAATTTTTCACAAATTATGTCTAAATTTTCACAAAATAGATACCTCTCAGAAAAACCTAGACAGACTCCTGGTATTTACAAAAGCAGGTTGAAATGGAATGAGGACCTGGATAGCCTGATTGAAAGGGCGTTGAAATCTTGTTTGTGAGAATTGGAGTTTGACTACAACAGGTCAAAGAATCCTTGTGCAATAAATAGTGACTGGCGTATCTGTCGAGGTCATAAGATCTTGCAAGTTCTCATAACAAATTGATACCTCTCGGAGAGCCATGATAGTTCAGGGGATGGAGTGCTGCCAATGAGGTCACCCGGTTTCAAATCCCAGTGATGGTTTGTAGTTATGAATTATGCACCCGGCTCGCACCAACCACAGTACTGACTTAGAAACATCTTCAGTGCTAGACGGATCATGGGTTAGTCTCCTTGCTGTCAGGCTAACCATAGGAAATTTTCTTGGTTTTCCTCTCTACGTAACACAAATGAGGGTTAGTTCCATTACAGTCTTCTACTCTGTTGCCAAATTTCAGAACTGTGCAAGCAATGACACACATAGTCTCATAAAAAAAAAAATTTGTCTATCGTATCTATCATATAAATGTGCACATTAATTATAGCCACAGAATTTAGCCTCAGCTCAATAGCATCATAATTTTATTTTTATAACAGTAGTAGAACAGCCGACCCAATGTTGGGTTTACGACTACTAATACTCAACTCCGTAACCACGTAATTTTGAATACAATCCAGAAGACAAGGGAACTCCTGAATCAAGTATTGGGAGAAATTTGGTTTCGAGGAGGACTTTTTGATGGAACTAACCCGCATTACATGGAGAGGAAGACCACGAGAACCTCCAACGGTTAGCTTGATGGCAAAGGGACTCTAAACCCATTGTCCCGCTACCATTGAGGATATTTCACATCACCACTGTGGTCGGTGCAAGCCGGATGCGGATTTATTTCAACCAGCCATCGCCGGGGATTTGCAACCAGGTCACCTCATTGGAAGGCGAACTCTCTATTCCCTAATCTTTGAAACTTCCACCCAACAATTGGCAATTAAATTAAAGCATCAATTGAATTGCTAACTTATTTTATTTCGCACAAAATTTTGAAAGTTATGAAGACTTTAAATTCTCTATTTTTTTTAAATTGGGTCTCGCTAATGGAGTAAATAGACCCAAAAATTTAAAAATAATTCTGCGTAGGGAAGAAAATCTAGCGGAACAACATCATTAATGCTACCACTTATAATTAATACTGTAATCCATCACATCGCAATTATGTAGGATAAAAGTGCGATACTGTTTGTTAGTTTATTATCCATAATTTACTAGTTAACCTAATTAAATAACAAAACATATAAAAGTTATGTAACACAGACGCGCGATATGGAAAAATTTGCATTGGTGGCAACACAGTATATAAATAGCACACATGCCGATTATAAATAAGTTAAAAAAGAAAGATTTCTGTTATTTGAAAAAAAAGAGGAGATATCAATCTTCCCAAAATAAAAATACGTTTAAAATTAAGAGTTGATTCCAACATTGCCCTCAACGTAAAGAGCGAAGTTAAGACAAAACGAATTTGAGCTATATAAAGTTACTTTTGGAGAAACAGGAAAAAATATGCGAGCTTATAATAATAGAATATAACAAATAATTAATTGTATACTTACATCACTCGTCTTAAACACGTGTGTCAGCGCTAAAATTTACAAAAGCCGAGAAATAAACAAAGAACTTCAAATGAATCTGAAATAACTGATGCCACTTTTCATCTAAATAAAGGAAAAATCTTAAATGTGAGTAACTGCAGTGACGGCCTAGGAGACAATATGTGAGATCAAAAAATCGTTTGGTGAGGAGAGTTCTGAAAATGAATACGCCATCTAGAGCATAGAGTTATCTAGAGAGGATATCGGATCCATGTCTAAAGTCTCTTTCTCTGCTGCTTTTAATCCATATTTCGCATTTGGATAATCAAAAATATATTTTGATTGTTGTTGTTGTTAATTTACGTCGCACTAGAGCTGCACAATGGGCTATTGGCGACGGTCTGGGAAACATCCCGGAGGATGATCCGAAGACATGCCATCACAATTTTGATCCTCTGCGGAGGGGATGGCACCCCCGCTTCGGTAGCCCAACGACCTGCGCGCGAAGTCGAGCACTTTACGGTAGCACAGTTTAACGAGGACCAATACCGCACACCCTCGGTCCCTACGCAAACTGATCCAAGTGGTCACCCACCCGCACACTGACCGTAGCCAGTGATGCTTGACTTCAGTGATCTGCTGGGAACCGTGTCTTAACCATCAGTCCACTGCGGGACAAATATATTTTGAAATTTCCATGATGCTTACAAAAATGCAGTTTTTCTTGTGGCATTGACGTTTAATTCCTTATTTCAAATCTTCTTCAACTCTTTCTCGTCCCGCAGGGGACTGATCGTTAAGACACGGTTCCCAGCATTTCACCGAAGTCAAGCATCACTGGCTGTGGTCAGTGTGCGGGTGGGTGACCACTTGGATCAGCCTGCGAAGGACCGAGGGTGTGTGGTATTGACCCTCGTTAAACTGTTCTACCATAAAGTGCTCGAATTCGCGTGCCTGTCGTCGGGCTACCGAAGCGGGGGTGCCATCCCCTCCGCAGAGGATCAAAATTTTGATGGCATGTCTTCGGATCATCTTCAGGGATTAGGAAGGGTACAAAGATTCGAAAAATGCGATACAATTTTCTTTCGAATTTTTAAAATATTCAGGGTGGGGTCCCCCCTTAAATTTGAAATAAGGTAAAAGAAAAAATCCATTCAAGTAACTAGTGCAGGGCCGGGATAGCCTGGTCGGTAGGGCGCCATCCCATCCGTGGGTTCGATCCTCGCCGGCCGAAGACTCCCCGTGTAGTAAACGGTGACTGATGCACGCTAAATCTGTCGAGTCTCAAAGTCCTCCATGTTCCCACAACAAATCAATACCTCTGGGGGTACTGATCCTGGAGTTTCCTTGTCTTCTGGATTGGTTCAAAATTACAAGGCTACGGAGTTGAATGTAAGTAGTCGTAAACCCATGAATTTGGGTCGGCTGTTTAACGACGGTTATAAAATAAAATAAAATAAAAAGTAACTAGTGCAAAAGCATGATTTTGGAGAAAAAGAAAAAAAATTAAAATGAGTAAATTTAGAGTCCTTGTACTCTTAGCTTTCTAAATATACTTTACTTTTGTTTGTACTGCAAGTATTTACAAAGTTATAGCAGTTTTTGTATAAGGTGATAAAACAGTAGATAGATAAGTGATTTTAAGTCTATAAATGCGTTTATTCCTAAAATCAGATTTTTTTTTCCAGATTTTACACCACTTTAAACACGATATCTGATATCGTTTTAAAATAATTGTCTGCAATTTTTCATGAGTGTTTATGATCGACGAACGCATGTTTTGAACTTTGGAGGAAAAAAGTAAAATTTCATTTTTCATGCATGTTTTTTCACAAAGACAAGAGAAAAAATTTTCAAAATTTTACTTTTTTAACTACATTAATCCTTAACTCAGTATAAAGTCTCTGACCAAATTGGGTATAATATAAAAAAAACACAACTACTTCGATTTAGTAGGAACAACATATGACGCAATGCTAAACGAATGGAATTTAGTTGTTGTTTATTTAGTTATTGTTATTAGTAGTTGTTGTTATTTGTTTTAGTTGTTGTTGTTTATTTAGTTGTATTTAGTTTCAATAACTTTTCTTTATAATGCAATAAAATCTGGCGAGCAGCTATTTAAACGATCGAACACTTCGTTTGTTTATTTGTGGCTTGAAGTTAGGCTCGCAGAAAATGCCGTTCATGGGTAAAATTTAGTAGGAACAACACAACCTGTGACGTAGGCTATATTATACCCAATTATTAGACGCACTATAAGATTCCATGTAAAATCTTAATTATCAGGTGATACTGTACAGCTTTATTGTTTTTACACGACTGGAACCGGTTTACACTTGTTTACGTTAGTGTATCAATAGGTTGACATTGTAATGCAATACATTAAAAATAAGTATAAATAGGAAGCAGTTGAAACATCTCCTGAATAAAAACCCATTACATATATGTTTAAATATAAAAGTATAGCATATAAACTCGTGCAAAACATGTAATTATTAAAAAACTAAAGCACTGCTAGTAATTTGATCTAATTATTATATTATACTAATACAATACCTGATATAATAAATATTCTATATTTATATAATATATCGTTTAATTTATCCAATCGTCGAATTTATATTAAATATCGCTCAATTTAACCAATTGATACTCGAACAAGTGCAAACCGGTTTCAGTCGCGTAAAAACAATAAAGCTGTATAGTATCACCTGATATTTAAGATTTTACATAGAATCTTATAGTGCGACTCATAAGTTGGCCAGGTACTGTATGCACTTGCTTGTAAGATAATAGTTCAAAACATAGTTGTTAACGGCCTAAAAAAAAAACTTATTTTTTACCGAAAATTGATCGTATAAAAAGAAAATAATAACAATGAAATTTTTTTGTTGCTAGTTTTATAAGTTTCTACACATAATAAGGCAAATAAACTAAACTCAGTGACGCGACAGCCCATAGAGGGCCAAGGCCTACCGTGCGCATCTCAGTTTTTCCGACCTTGGGTTCTGGGCTGCACGAGCAGATGTTCCGGTTGGGTGGTCAACCGAACGCGGAACCCCCAGTGTTTAGTTCCCAAGCATGCTTGGAACTTATTTTATCGACCCACTGAAGGGATGAAAGATTGAGTCAACCTTACCCGGCTCGTGGGTCGAACCCAGGACCTGCGACAGGAGAGCGTGAAGCACTAAACCAATATACTTGTTCTTTTTATTTTTAAAAAACTCTATATTAATATTTTAAAAAAAGTTGCCGAAGCTAGTCGGATTCCTTAATATCGAGTTTTCTTACAATTTAAGATTCAAAAGATTCGAGATTCAAAATTTTTGAAAATTTCGAGATTTTTATTATTATTTAAAATGACGAGACTTTTATTATCACTTAAACAATTTTTCATCTAAATTACAACGCGAACTATTTCAATTAATTCATTCCTCGAACCTGAAGCCACTTGCGAAACATCATTACATTCAACATCATTACGAATGCATCGATATCGTATATCAGCCCTTATACCTAAATTTCAACTGGTGAAAAAGTTCTAGTTTATACCTGGGGCATTCGAATGAAATATCGTTTGTATAAATTTCTCTTTTGCCATACTTGGAGATAGAAATTATTCTGAATCTAAAATTTAGCCTCTTAGGAAATGAAAGGTTATGAAAGGTTTGAATTTCGGAAGTAATAAAACAAAGCAATGATGAAGTAAGAACTAAAAGAAATAAATATATAATTATTATTTTGTGTGTGTGTTAGCAAAGGAAATTAATGTTATGGAATCATGATAATACTACCAAAACATATAATATTTTTTTTCAAATCTATAAAAATAAAATTCAGAGTTTGTCTTTAAGTCATCCTAATAATTTAAGAACCATTTTTCCTAAAATTTGGACAGCGGTTGTAAGGGTCTAGCCCCTTGTACTAACGCTCGCAGGTGCTTGGACAGTCTCAATTGTGATAGAAAAACATTAAAAATAACTGGATGGTCAGACAAGGTCAAAGAAAGGGTTACTTGGAATCAAACTCTGAAGAAGAGAACGGCCCATCCTCCTGGGCTGTCGTGACACTAAAGAATGAAGCTCTAAATACTCGCTTTATGGAAACAAGTATTACAAGTACTAATTACGTTAAGTCATCCGTAAGTGCAGGTGAAAAAATAAATAAATAAATTGAACCATTTAACCAAAATAAGTTAACAATTATTTGGATATTAATAGTGTTTTTTTGCTTAATTTGATAACGTAAAGTAATCGAGAAAAGCAACTTCTAACAATAGTAAAAATGTGAATTTTTGGAACATTTTTAGATTTTTTAATTGTAATGGCAAATACCTTTCAGATTTATGTTCTTTAGAGTTGATGACCTCTTACCTGTTTTTGGTGTAATATGGTATTTTGTGAATCCCGTTTTTGACATAGCATTACTTTTCGATTTAGGCCAACCATTTCCTCGATTTTTCTACGCCTTCCCCTCGTGATTCGCGATCGCAACACTCGAATACGCCATCTGGGGAGAGACCGGTTTCATGCCTTTAGCCCTTCTCCCTTCCCTCTCCTCCTCTTTTCAGTTACATAGTAATGTACTACGATATTTTCCCTTTTTTTACTTAATAAAAATATTTTTAAAAATTTCCGTGATACTTTTCTTTAGAACTATGTTTACTGTAGTTTTCAGTTCCATATAGTTTTTCAAGTTAAAAGATTTTAATCTATGTGAAAATCAAGAGAGAAACTAACGTACTTCCTTCCTCTATGACTTTCCACACGCTAATGGGGAAAGCATGTGAAGTGTTGCCATAGGAAAAGAGTTCTGCTCTACGCCACCTGCAGTCCAATAAATTGTCTGCAGGTGGCGCAATTGTCTGCAATAAATTGTCGGCAAGGAGAGATAAAAGAGCAAACAGTATTACACTGGTGTAAGAAATTAAGAGAATTTGTAGACTTGGTGGATTATCTCTAGAGCTACTGGACCGATTTTAATGAAATTTGATATGTACATACATTGATACAATACAAAACATATTCTACAATCAACAACATATTCAACAATAAATTCAACACCATTCAAAAATTATAATGCACGCGCATGATCGTGCGTAACACTAGTTGGAGTCTGAAGGTATGAAACAGCGGTTGCAGAATAAGCAAAACA